CCGTTATATGAGTTGTGGGCTCTCTATTTCTTTTTTTTTTTTTTTTTTTTTTTTGGTTATCACCAGGGTTGAGCCAGTTTGAGCATACCTCAATTAAACCCCCCAGCCCTTGAAAACCGATCGGTAATCCTCCAGTGGTCACATTTTTAGCGCCTAGAGGACTTAAACTCAGGAGCTTGGAAAGCTCTTTTTGTCTTTTATCGTCAAGGCACCTAGTGATGGTTTGACCTTTTTATTCTTAAGTGCTTTGGATGTGACAAGTTCTATTGGATGTGTTGAAAATAAAAATGTTCTTAGGATCAAAATAGAAATATGTAGACCTTACAAATTCAGTTTAGCCATTTTCGTCCCCCCATCAGTTTTCAAACTTTACATTTTGGCTCCTATATAAAGTATAAGTAACTTCGATTGTTCGTTGCCCCTTTATTCATTGAACATTACATGTAACCCAATTCTAGTTTCTAGAGTATAAGGCTCTTTTGTTACCCATGGGCCAAGACGGCCCGTTAGTGAGTTGTGGCCTCCCTATTCATTAATTTCATTAGTTGTGACAAGTTCTATTAGTATGTGCGAGGATAAAAATGTTCTTAGGAATTAAATAGAAAAATATCAGCCCTTAAATTCAATTATGCCATTTTTGTCCGAGCAATGCTAGGCTCACGACTAATCCCAAACTTTCTCTCACAATCTCCAATACGACAGCTCGTCAGTTATCGTATGGGTCCCACTGACCATTTGCAAGCTAACCAATGACAAGTTGCCACGTCGGGGATTGAGATTGGATTGTCGACCTAACATTATGTGTCTGTCCCCCTCAGTTTTTCAACTTTACATTTGGCTCCCAATGTAACTTCTTGATTGTTCTATGGCCCCCTTGTTCCAATCGAAGAGACACAGTGAAAGCTTGTACTGGCTACAAGAAAAGCAGAAGAAAGTACTGCGATGATGTAACTTCACCATCATCTCTTAGCAAAGTGCTTTTCGTTTCGACTTCTCTTTGAAGCAGCCTGCAGCTTTCAGAAAAAGCACTTCTGTCAGCAAAAGCAAAAAGTGTTCACACAAATTGCAGCACCCATTGAACTGAAAATACCATCTTCTTCTTTAAAGTGGCCTTTTAGTACACGCCACTGGGTGGAAATGGCACTAAACCAATAATCTATTACCACCACTCTATTTTAATTTTAACTGCTATTTGGAAGTGCTTCTGCACTACCCAAAAGCACTTTTGACGTTAATATATAAAAAGCCAGCTTGCTTGTGCTTCATAGTGTTGGAATTTTGACTAATTGAATATTTTAAAAAACAATTTTTGGGATACAAAGATTTTATTTTATTAGTAGCAAAAGTTTCTGAATTTAACTTAGAAAAAAAAATAGAAGTTTTTTTTTTTTTTCTCAAAATTGCTTTTATAAATAATGTATTTTAAATTAAGAAATTATATATTCATGTTAAGTAAGATCATGGTTTTGAATGGCTCATAATTTAGAGATTATTTGGTTGCTTTGAATCCTATTCTTTCGTATCATATTAACTCCCTTATGCTCGGCGTGCACGCCAAGGACCATCATCAGAATATTAACCCTCCATCATACTCAACATGTACGGCCAAGAACCCAAGGACCCATCATCTATTAACCTCTCTCATGGTCGGCAGTGCACGACCAATGACATCATCCACCAAACAAAGGTGGCTAAATCCATCAATAACAGGTTCAACCATACTTATATATTATGACAGTCTACCAAATTAGCGATATGAGACAAAAGTAATGAAGCCACAACCAATCTCACAACCCTCGACGTGACAATGTCATTGGTCAACTACAATGGGTTCGGCCTACTTGTATGGTTCTGCCTGCCCATACGAGCTAATCAATAACAAGTTACCGTATCGAAAGTGTGATAGAATTACAAGTTCTAGCAGAAATCACAATATTATTTGTCAAAATCAAGAATATTTATAAAAATACTTCTCAAAGGTCAACCAATGAAAACTTCTTATATTTTTTTTTTTTTTTAATAACACCCCACCAAGAAAGATAACTTAAAATAATAAATAAAAAGCTTTGAAATAATCATAATATTCACGGGTGACAAAATATTCTAGTATTTGTATAGTTTAGAACAAAATTGGGTTAGATTTAGCATTAATTAATAAATAATATTTAATTAGTAGTAGATGAAGGGCATCACTCTTGATCCAAAACTCAATTATGCTTAATATTAATTACACGTTATTGGCACCACTCAACATCAATGCACTTTCAATTAACAGGACATCACTCTTTCTTTCATTATAATTAATTAATTAATTAAACCCTTTTAATTTTTTTTTGTTTTATTAAAAACAATCAATCTTTCATGGGCCACAAACTTCTAGATCATTGTCTAACCACTTATATACATCAATAATTAAAAATTCTAAATTAAAATGTTTTTCTCATTCTAAAAAAAACTCTATAATAAATTAATTATTAGAAATGTATTTCTTTCACATCATTGAGTCAGTGGGCTGTATAGATTGTGTATATATATGGTGGACTTTTTTTCTTTTGAACTAGTTTTTTTAGGTGAATTCTACTCAACCCATTTTCAACCGTATATTTTTATATATATTGTTGAAATAATAAAAGGCAATTCCTAGAGTCAAAAAGTTTAGGATGATTTCTTCACGAAAACAAAAAAAAATGCTAAGTGCTATATGCATTTCTAGAAAGCATTTTCAAATATTTTAATTATGAATTAGAAAAAAAATGCATAAAGAATTTTTTTATAAGAAAAATTCGAAAAGGGTTTCAAGGCTCTTTATTTTTTAAATTCTCCAACAATTTTATTAAAAAAAAAAAAAGAGGTTTTTGCAATTGTTCCCCTTATATAAAATGATAATTACCCCCGTCTCAATGCTTCTCAAGATTCTATATTTTATTAATACACAACACACAGAGACATATACATATATATATATATATATATATATAATTTTGATCTGTTAAATTAAGTATCAAACTCTATCGAAAAAAATAAACTAAATTGGGTGGCCACATGCTTAAGTAATGTGCGTCTATTGCTCGAGAGTTGTTTAATTAATATTTTTACCAACATGCAATCAAATCCAAAAAGGAAAAAAAAAAAAAAAAAAAAAAAAAGTAAAAGAGAGGTCTCATCTTCCTTGTCTTCTTTAAGAAGACGTGCTTTATTTATTATGTAAAGTATGTACTACATTTATGCTTATTTTTCTTTGGACTTAAATGAAAATAACCATATACCTAAGTCCCACCGACTTTTTTTCACTTTGTTTTTTGCTATATATATAGTTTGTATTAATATTTCTTTCTCTTTAATTCTTCCGTAAAGCATATTTAGTGGCGTAGCAATGCAATTTGGACTCATTCTAACCATGATTAAATGGGTTGATTCAAAAATCTTTACTATTAGAAAGTTATTTGCGTGCGTATTTCTGAATCGTACTTTTTGTCTATTGACATGATAATGTTAATGTACGTTGTATTGATTGTCATCGCGAATATTAATAAGTTATTGTCGACAAGTATACATATATATATATTGGTCATGGCAATATTAGCAACCGTTACTATATATATATATGCAATCTTTTCTTTTACCCCAATGTATTATGAGACACATGAAGAAGAATTTCATTTTTTCAAATATGTAAGTAACTTTCTCATTTCCTTAATAGAGGAGAATATTTTTTGTAGTTATGATTCTTAATTAAAGGATTTTGTAACCTACAATTGCTTCATGGGTCCATATTGTAAAGGATGACATATATACAATTAATTAGGTTTCACATATGAATTGTCTTCTTGAGAATTTAGGTTTTTTCATTCTCAAAGAGAGGGGAGGAAAAAGTTGTTCAACTTAATTATAATATTGGGAATATTTTGGCATCCCACATGTTGCAATCAAATAAATAAATACCCAACTATGAATTATTTAGCATAACATTGATTATGTAACACCTCACTTTAGATTATATGTTCTACCTTTTTGTGACCTCGAAATGAATAACATTATATAAGAATCATATCATGCATCAATAAATATCCTAAAATTGATATCATCTTAATTGATGTCGATATGTGAAAGAAAATGTTTAAAAATAATTATGAGTGTCACTAATATAACACATCTAAAATGAGTGTCATATTGGTAATTTGTAAACTCGATGAGGGTATTTTAGTAATTAATAAGGAATTTTTATAATACAAAAATCAGTTAATATCTCAAAATTAAATATCTATCTTAATTGATATATAAAAGAAAATTTGATTTAACAAAATGATATGTCAATGTCATTTACTAAACACATCACTTAAAACGGGTAATTATTATTAAAAAAAAGTCATGTCAGTTCAATGGTAATTCAAATCGGATAAGGGTATTTGGTAATTAATAAGTATGTTTTTATTGTTACGCATATCAGTAAATCTCAAAATTAATTATCATCTTATGAGTATGTCATCTTTTTGATGTTGATATGCAAATGAAAAATTGAGGTAACAATGATACATCAGTGTCACATAATGTACAAAACAGTTAAAATCAGAAAAAATTATTAAAAAATGTCATGTCATGTCATATTGGTAATTTAAACTCGGATGAGGGTATTTTGGTAATAATAAGTGGCTTTTTACATTATGCATATCAGTTAATATCCTAAAATTAAATATCATCTTAATTGGTCTTATGTCATCTATCTGACGTTGATATGCAAAAGAAGAATTGAGGTAACAAATGAACATTATTATACGAAATATAAAACATTGTTAAAATGAGAAAGAAATATTATTATAAAAAGCGTCATGTCATGCCCATGTCATATGGTAATTTTTAAACTCGTACAAGGGTATTTGGTAATTGAAAAAGTGGGTTACTTACATAATTATATTTGAGAATGGAGATCGATCAGATGTCAACATGATGCATATAATATGAAAAACAGCTGTTTTAACCTTATAGGGTTAAAATCAGGTTCTGATACTGAGTCAAATATCACCACCAATGTAAAAGGAAAATAAAACCTACCTGGAAGACAGTCCCAAGTTTTTTCAGCCCTTTTGCCCTTAGTTTCAGAACATCCTTGGACACACTAGGGTCTTTCAATACCTGAAATAGAAGTAAAGAATGCCAAGAAAAGCAACCAGAGAAATTTTGTTACTATTCATGTTAATTCACCCTGCATGCATACTATGTCTTAAATTGACATATAATAAGTTCCACAAGCATCAATAGCGTAAAACATCTCACTAGCCATATCAAATTACATCTGGAGGAAGGCAGGATTATTAATTATGATGGAGTTTTGCATCTACAATGTTGAATGGAACTATTGCATCTATTTATATTGAATTCAGTTCAGGTTTCACTGCCTAACTTGCATCTATTTCGGGTAAAGGACACTTGAGGTAAGTTTCTAAGTAGGCCATAATGCGATGCACAGTCTTTTGCATAATAGATTTAATATTAGCAAGTTAATATAGTAAACTGAAAAGATAACTCAGCTCAAAATAGGTAGAATCATACCATAATCCATGCTGCATACATCAAAACTTTCTAAGCTTAAGAAAGGAAAAAATGGAACTTACAGCTTGGCAGATCCGTGATAGGGTTGATTCAATATCAACCACATTGATCTGCCAAAGGGATTGAAGCACAGCATCCTTCTTATCTTCAATGGCTTTCATTAGGTTCTCTTCTTTGTTTTCTGCTTGGTTAATCTTCTTCAGGTCTTCTTGTATTTGAATCAAAGAAACAGCACCTAGACATTCAGAAATGATTAACATGTTGAGTCCATTAGAAGGTCTAAACATAAATAAAAACCCAAGCCTATTCACCAAGTACAAATTTCCTAATTGCAGAAATGTTGTACCTGATGCTGCCATTACTTGCGACTTTATCTGATGGCCTTTATCTCGTACCCATTCTGCCAAAAATGGCACCTTCATAAACCGTTTGTCCTTTCCAAGCTCCTTTGAAGCTTGTCTTGTGTAAATATAGCCAATCGTGTGTAGCATAGCTTCACCAAAAGCTACAGAGGGCAGCAGTTATAGATTAATGCAAGTTGTACAAGTAGTAAAAATCAAATGAGATAACATTTGGATAGTATTTTTAAAAACAGCCGATTTCCTTTCAAAAGCCATAAAACTGAGTTCAGAATGTAAACCAGGTCATCCCATAACAGCAGAGATTCTAAAGAATTTATGCACACTAAGCAGTGTACGAATTTCCATAAATTAATCCTCTAACCTATTTTTTATTAAGGCTATGAACGATCAATGGTGCATGACATTGCATGTAAGTAGTGATGAATTAAATATTCACTAAGACTCCAAGAGGCAGCTAAAAGATGGCTTTGAAGACCCAGAAATGTCTTCATGGCTCAATGACTTTAGGGAATTCTGATTAACCATAGATAGTGACAGTTGAGGACTAAAGTTGAAGTTTTTCATCATCATGCTCCATCATGATGCCGCTGCCTTGGCAGTACAAACAATTTCAAATTTATAAAAATTTGAACTTCAGTCCTCATCCCAGACATGCTCTTGGGACCAATGAATATTTCATTGTTAAGGTAGGTTTCCAAATTCAACACTAAGGTTTTGATAGGTTTAAACAAATATAGCATACTGGTTCGAGGGGAGCTAGGAAAAATTTACCAGCCGCAGAGAGGCGACGAGCTTCTGAACTTGCCCATAGTACAAACTCGTCTGTTCGGCCTTCAACAAATGGTTCAAGACGATTTTTCAGATTTGTGATGAGCTTTTCTTCCCTCTCTTTCTGCAATGCCTGCACATTGGAAAAAAGGTTGAAGCTTCAATCAGGTCTATCAAAAAGCTCACATTTTGACAATACTAGTGAAGAAAATATACCCTCATTTTCTCCTGCATTTTCTGCCGACGAACTTCTGGGTCCTGCGACTCATTTTCAAGCTCAATGCCTGCCAACGTAGCCAGCGCTAGTTGCCCAACATAATCATCAAAAAACTCACTTCCAAAAAGCATGCCAAACACAGCTGAAGGATCCACCATGAACTCACTGCAAAGCAAAACAATATGAGACACCAATTTCCTCATGTTTTCCACAGGAATAAACAAATGTTTTAATAGCAAAAAAGGGGAAGAGGCACCCATTAACAAAAGAAAGAAAGGAAATTGGTTGAAGATGAATAATTATAACAAACCATAGTCAAATTCTTTATAAGTTTATCTAGAAGATGAAACAGGTAAAAGCAATGCTTGAAGTACATGAACTTACTGCGTTATTCCATCCTTTCCATGCTTGTCATACGCTTCACGCTTCTCAGGATCACTTAAAATCTGATATGCCTCACCAAGTACCTTTAAATATGTACCATAACCAGACAAATTATAGAAAGAAAGTTAACAAAAAAATCTGGAAAGAAATTATATGGTTCTTGAGATTTATAAATCCTTAATGCATCTTACAAAAAGGCAAAGAAGCACATTGATACAATATGCACAAATTAACCTAAAAATTCAAAATAGTAACAAATTAACGAACCAGTTTTCTGTTTTAAATTGATTTCCCGTTTCTGATAATACGAACTTGGGATTTGAAGATAAACTCACAGTAGTGAGGTGGACAATAACATGTTTAATTACACCAATCAAATGATAATATTTGAAGTTCTTATATATCAAAGGTATAAGCTTACCTGAAAATTTTCTGCAGCCTTTGGGTCTCCAGGATTTTTATCTGGGTGGACTATCCGTGCCTGCAAAAGAACATGGACAACTATCTCACAACCAAAAATCGAATGTAGCATAGACAAAACCCCAAAATTCCCAACCATATAATCATCAAATTACATTCTAAGGTGCTCATTAGACAATTTCGAAACACAAATTTAGAAGGCAATAAACCACAACATATAAAAATTGCTCCCAAAAACTGGTAAGTTCTGCTGCAACTTTGGCTTCAAATTGTATAAAACATAAACACATTTCAAATTACCCACAATTCCCCTAAGCGAAAAAAGCACGGGAGATAGAATCGAAACATTACCTTCAGGTAATAAGCCTTCTTGATCTCAGCTGGGGAGGCATCAACACTTACACCCAATATATCATAATATTCAGTCTCCTTCACCATTGCTTTTCTTTTACTAGACCTTCTAAAACCAGATACACGACCAAAATGAATTAGCCTCATGATTACCATCAAAACAAATAACTATACAACAATTAGCATGCAAACAATAGCTTATATAAAGGGCACCTCTTAAACGGATAAGGATTGGCTTTTAATTCCATGAAAACTAAAAATTGGAATAAAAATTTAACCTTGATAAAAACTATGAACCCACATGAATCATACACATAGATCTTAGCAAAAATAAAAAAACAACCGGCTTATTTTACCGTGTATTTATCAGTAATTACAAGAAAAATAATAAAACAAAATTAAGAATCTATAATCTTGAACTTCCATATGATTCTAAGCTCAGTTTTAGCTGAGCTAATCTAAGATTAAACTTACTTGTTTCAACGAAGCTGAAGATGAAATGAAGAACCCAGAAAGAGAATCAACGACAGAATGATAATGTGAATGATAACCTCAACATGAATCAAAAGTACTTTAGTTTTGTAATTTAGGACCCGAAGCTTCTGTTAAACGTGTTCTTGAGCGCAAACGTATCTCCTTTTTTGTTTTTTTTTTTTTTTTTCCCGATTTTACATGTGTTTGCTGTCATTTTTTGGGCCATGCACATGCACACGTACCAGAGTAATCATTTTGTTATGTCACACGTGTGGAAACATAGTAGAAGAAAACTTTATCAGGCCCAAGTAGAGATGGCAATGGGCCCGGTTTTTTCGGGTACCCGGCCCGGCCCGAAAAGGTTGGGGTTTGCCTGATGTTCGCGGGCTTGGGCTTGGGCCTGGGCCTGATTTTAAGGCCCGACCTCGGGTACGGGCCAGACCTAGGTATGCCTTCAGGCCCGGCCCAGCCCGACAATTTTAGTATTAATTTTCCTAAATTATCTTTATACTATATATTTAATTACAAGATTATCCTACATATATACACCAATTTTTCCCAAACCCTAATCTCATCTCATTTGATGAGTAGTAAAAAATAAATTAATATTTAAAAACTATTTTTAGAATTAAAAATATAAAAAAAATTGAAATTTATTAATATTTAAAAATTGAAATTATAAAAATGGGCTGGCTTGGGCCGGGCCTAAGGTTACAAAAAGCCCGTCGGGCCGGGCTTGGGCTTTACCTATTATACCCGTGACGGGCCCGGCCCGGGCTTGGGCCTTTGTCATGAGGTCGGGCTTGGGCCTGGGCCAAGGGGTACCCGGTCCCTGCCCGGCCCATTGCCATCACTAGGCCCAAGCCCAAATATGGACCCTGCCAAGAAATATTAGGCCCAATTGTAGTTTCTAGAATATAAAGGCCTTTTGTTACCCATGGGCCAAAGACGGCCCGTTATGTGAGTTACGGCCTCCCTATTCATTAATTTCTCTGGACAATACTACACTTACAGTCTTATGACCAATCTCACAAGTTTTCTCTCACAATTCCGAGCCTAATTGCGAGCTGTTACGTCAAGTTTGTAAGAAAAAAATTTATAAAATTGAGTTGTAAGTCAATCTTTATTGAATTTCTTTTGAATGTGAAACGTTCTATTAAGATGTATTGAGGATAAAAATGTTCTCATGAATTAAAATAGAAATATTTAGTCCTTATAAATTCAGTTTATGCCATTGTCGTCCCCCTCATTAGTTTTAAAATTTTACATTTTGGCTCCCATAAATGTAACTTCCAGATTGTTCTATGGCCCCTCTATTCATTGAACAATACATTTTGACCCAATTCTAGTTTCTAGAGAATACAGGCCTTTTGTTGACCGACGGGCCAAAATGGCCCGTTATATGAGTTGTGGACTCTCTATTTCTTTTTTTTTTTTTTTTTTTTTTTTTTGGTTATCACCAGGTGTCTGAGCCAGTTTGAGCATACCTCAATTAAACCCCCCAGCCCTTGAAAGCCCGATCGGGTAATCCTCCAGTGGTTACATTTTTAGCGCCTAAGAGGACTTGAACTTAGGAGCTTAGGAAAGCTCTTTTTGTCCTTTTATCCTCTGGGCACCTAGCGATGGTTTGACCTCTTTATTCGTTTAAGTGCTTTTGGATGTGACAAGTTCTATTAGGATGTGTTGAAAATAAAAATGTTCTTAGGAATTAAAATAGAAATATTTAGTCGTTACAAATTCAGTTTTAGCCATTTTAGTCCTCCCTCATCAGTTTTCAAACTTTACATTTTGGCTCCTATAAATGTAACTTCTTTGATTGTTCTCTTGCCCCTTTCTTCATTGAACATTACATTTTGACCCAATTCTAGTTTCTAGATTATAAAGGCCTTTTGTTACCCATGGGCCAAGACGGCCCGTTATGTGAGTTGTGGCCTCCCTATTCATTAATTTCATTTGGATGTGACAAGTTACTTTTAGGATGTGCCGAGGAAAAAAATGTTCTTAGGAATTAAAATAGAAATATTTAGCCCGTATAAATTCAATTATGCCATTTTTGTCCGAACAATGCTAGGTTCACGACTCAATCTCACAACTTTCTTTTATAATCTCTAATATGGCAGCTCGTCAAGTTGCTTGTATGGGTCCCACTGACCCATATGCAAGTTAACCAATAACAAGTTGCCACGTCGAGGATTGTGAGAGAAGGTTGTGAGATTGGATTGTCGATATAGTATCATTACGTCTGTCCCCCTCAGTTTTTCAACTTTACATTTTGGCTCCCAAAATGTAACTTCTTGATTGTTCTATGGCCCCTTTGTTCCAATTGAAGAGACACAGTGAAAGCTTGCTACTGGCTACAAGAAAGCAGAAAGAAAGTACTGCGATGGATGTAACTTCACGATCATCTCTTAGCAAAGTGCTTTTCGTTTTCGACTTCTCTTTGAAGCAGCCTGCAGCTTTCAGAAAAAGCAACTTCTGTCAGCAAAAGCAAAAATGTGTTCACACAAAATTGCAGCACCCAATTGAACTGCAAAATCCACCATCTTCTTCTTTAAAGTGGCTTTTTAGTACACCGCACTGTGTTGGACATGTGCACTGATCCAATAATCTATTAACCCACCACTCGTATTTTTAATTTTAACTGCTTATTTGGAAGTGCTTCTGCACTACCCAAAAGCACTTTTACACAGTTAATATATAAAAAGCCAGCTTGCTTGTGCTTCATAGTGTTGGAATTTTGACTAAATTGAATATTTTAAAAAACAATTTTTGGGATAAAAAGTATTTTATTTTATTAGTAGCAAAAATTTTTCTGAATTTAACATTAGAAAAAAAAAATAGAAGTATTTTTTTCTAAAATTGCTTTTTATAAATAATGTATTTTTAAATTAAGAAATTATATATTCATGTTAAGTAAGATCATTGGGTTTGAATGGCTCATAATTAAAGATGAGATTATATTTGGTTGCTTTGAATCCTATTCTTTCGTATCATATTAACTCTCTCCATGCTCGACGTGCACAGCCAAGGAACCATCATCGAATATTAACCCTCCATCACATTCAGCATGTACAACCAAGAACCAGGGACCCATCATCTATTAACCCTCTCTCACGGTCGGCGTGCACGCAAGGACCATCATTGCCTCAAACAAAGGTGACTCTGATAACATCAGTAACAGGCTTGGGAACAACTCACCTAAAAAAACTAGCTTAATAGAGGAGTGAGTTCAACCATAAATATACACCATAACAGTGTACCAATTGGCAAATAAGACAAGAGTAATACACTGATCTCACAACCCTTGACGTGACAGTTCCATGGTCAACTCGCACAATGGGTTCCGCCTACTTGTATGTGTTCTGCCTGGCATTTGCGAGCTAATCAATAACAAGTTATCGCATCAAAAGTTGTGATAGAATATACAAGTTCTAGTAGAAATACACAATATATTTGTCCAAATCAAAGAAATATTAATAAAAATAATTCTCAAAGGTCAACCAATGAAAACTTTCTATAAATTTTTTTTTTTTTTTTTAATAACACCCCACAAGAAAGATGACTTAAAATTAAAAAAAAAAGCTTTGAAATAAATCATAATATTCATATGGGTGACAAAATATTCTAGTATTTGTATAATTTAGAACAAAATTGGTTAGGTTTACATAATTAAACTGTGTTAATTAATTAAATAAATATATTTAATTAGTAGTAGATGAAGGGCATCACTCTTGATCTCAAAAACATTATGCTTAATATTTAATTACACGTTATTGCCACAATCAAAATCAATGCACTTTCAATTAACAGGACATCACTCTTTTTTCATTAATTAATTAATTAATTAAACCCCTTTAATTAATTTTTTTTTTGCCTTTTTATTAAAACAATCAATCTTTCATGGGCCATAGACTTCTAGATCATCGTTAACCAGTAACACCATTATCATCATAATTAATAAAATTATAAATTAAAATGTTTTTCTCATTCTAAAAAAACTCTCACTCTATATAAATTAATTATTAGAAGTGTATTTCTCCCACATCACCGAATCAGTGGGCTGTTATGGATTGTGTATATATATAGTTAGATTTCCTTTTCCTTTAAACTAGTTTTTGATGTGAACTGAATTTACTAAACCCATTTTCATGATATGGGTTGAATACTTGAGTTTCATCCAAACCCGTATATTATTAATAATAATGATATATATAATATTATAATTATATATATATATATATATATATATATAATATATATTTTAATATAGTTGAAATAATAAAAGGCAATTCCTAGAGTAAAAAAGTATTAGGATGATTTCTTCCGCGAAAAAAAAAAATGTTAAGTGCAATATGCTTTCTAGAAAGCATTTTCAAATATTTTAATTATGAATTATGAAAAAAAATGCATAAACAATTTTTTTATAAGAAAAAACAATAATAGTTCTTTTCGAAAGGGGTTTTTCAAGACTCTTATTTTTTATTTTTTAAATTCTCCAACAATTTTATTTAAAAAAAAAAAAAGAGTTTATTGCATGTGTTCCCCTTAATTATATAAAATAATAATCTACCCCCTGTCTCAATGCTTTGTCAAGATTCTATCATTTGATTATCACACACACACACACACATATATATATATTTTATTTTTGATCTGTTAAATTAAGTATCGAAACTCTACCGAAAAAAAAAGACTTAAATGGGTGGCCACATGCTTAAGTAATGTCCGTCTATTGCTCGAGAGTTGTTTAATTAAATTTTTACCAACAAGCAATCAAATCCAAAAAGGCCAAAAAAAAAAAAAAAAAAAAAAAAGGAGTAAAAGAGAGATCTCATCTTCCTTGTCTTTCTTTAAGAAGACGTAGCTTTATTTTATTATGTAAAGTATGTACTACATTTATGCTTTATTTTTCTTTTGGACTTAAATAAAATTAACCATATACCTAAGTTCCCCCACCGACTTTTTTTCACTTTGTTTTTTTGTTATATTATATAGTTTTGTATTATTAATTTCTTTCTCTTTAATTCTTCTTTAAAGCAATATTTAGTGGCGTAGCAATGCAATTTGATGGACTCATTCTAACCATGATTAAATGGGTTGATTCAAAAATCTTTAACTTAATGAGAAAGTTATTTGCGTATGTATTTTCTGAATCATACTTTTCTGGTACTATTGACATGATAATGTTAATGTACGTTGTATTGATTTGTCATCGCGCAATATTTGATAAGTTATTGTACGACAAGTATACATATATATATATATGGTCATGGCAATATTAGCAACCGTTACTATATATATATATGCAATCTTTTCTTTTACCCCAATGTATTTATGAAGCCACATGAAAGAAATTTCATTATTTTCAAATATGGTAAGTATATACTTTCTCATTTCCATTAATAAGAGGAGGAATATTTTTGTAGTTATGATTCTTAATTAAAGGATTTTGTAACCTACCAATTGCTTTCATGGGTCCATATTGTAAAAGGATGCACATATATACAATTAATTAGGTTTTCAATATGAATTTGTCTTCTTGAGAATTTAGGTTTATTTCATTGTCAAAGAGAGGGGAGGAAAAAGTTGTTCAACTTAATTATAATATTGGGAATATTTTGGCATCCCACATGTTGCAATCAAAATAAATAAATACCCAACTATGAATTATTTAGCATAACATTGATTATGTAACACCTCACTTTAGATTATATGTCTATACCTTTTTGTACCTCCAGAATGATCTAACCTTATATTATAAGAATCATATCATGCATATCAATAAATATCCTAAAATTGGTTATCATCTTATTTGATGCCGATATGTGAAAGAAAAATTGATTTAAAAAATAATATATGAGTGTCAACGTAATATAACACATCACTTAAAATGAGTGTCATATTGGTAATTTGTAAACTTAGATGAGGGTATTTTAGTAATTCATAAGAGAATTTTCTTATAATACAAAAATCAGTTAATATCTCAAAATTAAATATCATCTTAATTGATCTTATGCCATCTTAATTGATATATAAAAGAAAATTTGATTTAACAAATGATATGTCAATGTCATATACTATAACACATCACTTACAATGGGTAAATTTATTATAAAAAAAAAAAAAGGTCATGTCATGTCATATTGGTAATTTCAAAATCGAATAAGGGTATTTTGGTAATTAACAAGTAGGTTTTTTATGTTACGCATATCAGTAAATATCTCAAAATTAATTATCATCTTAATTGATGTTGATATGCAAATGAAAAATTGAGGTAACAAATGATACATCAGTGTCACATAATGTAACACAACAGTTAAAATCAGAAAAATTATTATTAAAAAATGTCATGTCATGTCATATTGGTAATTTTTAAACTCGGATGAGGGTATTTTGGTAATTAATAAGTGGCTTTTTTTACATTATGCATATCAGTTAATATCCTAAAATTAAATATCATTTTAATTGGTCTTATGTCATCTTATCTGACGTTGATATGCAAGAAAAGAATTGAGGTAACAAATGATACATTACTATCACGAAATATAAAACATTTGTTAAAATGAGAAACAAATATTATTATAAAAAGCGTCATGTCATGCCATGCCATGTCATATTGGTAATTTTTAAACTCGTATAAGGGTATTTTAGTAATTCAAAAAGTGGGTTACTTTACATAATTATATATTCTTCAAAATATATCAAGTTACTTGAGTGGTTACGGAACTATGATTAAATGCAATGGATTGTGATTATGATATGCATTAATATGACCACCGTTTGTCACTTGAAATGTTTTCTATTTTATTTGTTGTTTTCTGTATTTGATATTCAAATTGCAAAAGTTATTGGAATCTTAAGAAAACCATAGCCTCTATTTTCTCCATAAAAAAATAAAAGTTGGAGCCCATTTGCTATGCCTATGTCCCTCCTTCTTGGCTCTTTTCTCTTCTTGTTTGTGTAAAAATAAAGTGGTGATGCCTTTAACCCCATTTTCTTTCATCACTTCTTGGGTGCCTATTTGTCTCTTTATCCATTTTTATGTAACTCAAAAAAGGTGAAATTCTTCAATTGAGTCTTCATCTTTCCCTCTCCAAATCCAAACATAATCTTTAGTTTTGTGTATCCTCCAACTTTTGATTCCTTTATACAAAACCCTTTTCCCTGTGGGCAACAACGATGTCACAGAACCACCACTATGTGGTTTGGTGGTAAAATAATAAAAGGGGTCCAACATGAATTCTTGAGTTTGAGTCTTCCCATACACTAATAGGGGTGACCACTAGAGAGATTTACCTAACCGTTCACTTCAGGTTCTCGAGGGATTAATTAAGATGCATGCAAGCTGGCCTAGACACCCTCGATCTTCAAAATGTCACATATAATATATTAATTTCATATAATCTTTTAAAAACTACAATGGGTTCATGAGTTCGACCCCTCTAGGCACTAATAGGGGTCACCACTGAGTAGATTTACTTTGTTGTTCATTTCAAAACCTTGAAAGATTAGTTGAGGTGTGACAAACTGACCCAGATACCCCTGGTCATCAAAATGTCACATACAATACATTAATTTCATATACTCTTCAAAAAACTATAGTTTACGTTTCAAATTAAGTAATCTCACATGGGTATAAAGAGTTAATCCCACTTACAATTTAGACAAGTTTTTCAGGTTTGCTCAGAACTTAGTATTTTATGAAACTAAAAAGGTATGATATCGAACTTTGAAGAGGTCAATCGGTGATTTCTTTTATCTGTTTTTCTTAATTTTTTTCTTTCTTTTCTCATTAAAAAAGAAAACCAAGAAGACAATAGAGCCAGCCCATAGTTATATGATAATTAAACTAGTAATTAAATTGGTAATAGCACATGTTGGTGTTGCAAAAAATAATAAGCAAAATCATCCCTTTTCGAGAGGCATCATGTGGTTTTAAGAGTACTTGTACTGAAAACAATGCTCCCTGCACATGGGATTTCTTCCTCAACAGCAGGGGGAGTGGCACTCACTTTCACAGTTCCACCATTTTTATATCTTCCAAGAAAATATTTTTTGCTTTCCATTCCAACACTCTTGTAGCTTTTACTTTTTCATTCATGTCTTTCCCCTTTTACTTTCTTTCTCGCATTATTGTACTTGTGTAGTTCATTCTAAAATTTTAGAGTTTCCTTCATGATGATGATGAGATGAAGAAATTGGTACTGTAGATCTTGTATTGTTTGACTGATCTTGCCTTTTGAATATTTGATTTCAGTTTGAGAGACATGCGAAAGACATCTACCTCCCTAAGTAACTTGAAGGTTCGTTTGGGACTCTTAGGTGTATTATCCAAGAGGTTTTGAGTTCGAATCTCTATGACTACTGAAAATGGTAGCCATTGGCGGTTTACAATTGAGGTGTACATAAACTGCCCCCAACACCTCTGGATACCAATAAAAAAAAAAAAAAAAAAGACATGTGAAAGATATTCAGTAAAACCTCTCTATAGTCATAATGGTGAGACTAACTAATTTTATTACTATGAGAAAGTTATAACTTAATAGAGGTATAGTTACAAAAATTTCTTATTTCATAACTCATGCTTTAGTAGTACAATATTAGGATTTTAATTCATATTTTAATAGTATTAGGGTTTCAATTCAGCATTTCAATTGCCTACTTTTGAAACGAATAAAAGATCATGTCTTGGAATAAACAAATATAAGTATCCTTGATGGAATTGTAAATGCAGTTGATACATAGTCAATTAATATGAAGCCACAGATAATTATCAATTATTTTAAGCATTGAAAAATTAGGACCCTCAGTGTCGATTGCACGTTACAAATGAAGTGGATGAGGAGAATCAAAAAGTCATTATAGAATTGAGTGATCGGATTCGATAACTTTACTACACTAATCGAATGAATATTAATGTCTTCCTCAATCATCCAAATGAGCAATAAGTCATGTATACTTTAACTGAAGAAGTAATCATTACTACAATTAGATAAGAAGAGAAAGGAAATAATCATGAGGATGATGATACGAAAATACAAAAAGTTTCAAAGGAACGGCTATCAAGTGTTCACATCTCCATCAAGTGTTCATATGGAATTTCAAAGGAACCGCTATCAAACAAAAACACTTGGTCTTCATTACAGAGAGGGCTGCTGCTTATTTGCATATCCTTTGAATTCAACAAGCTTTATCTGAATAGATCAAGCAACATAAACAGTGCTCAATACTTGTAGTTCCCCTTCCAATTTGTCAATCTTAAAACAAGAAGACTTCTGCATATTCTTGTATAAAATATCTTCATGTAAACTCAATTATATTTTCATATCATATTATACGAAGTCATGAATCAAACATAAAGCATAGAGAGTTAAAGAAAGAGAAGAGAAGTATGCAATAATTGATACAAAATATTATTTTATAGAAACTAGAGACCAGATACATTTAACAGGTACTTGAATTCCATAGCAGAAATCCCATTTACAGACGAAGAACTAGCAAACCCAATAATTTAAAACACTTTATTATTCCTTAATTACTACTTAATTGCCTCTCTCTTGCTCTCTCTAATCATCTTCATATGGAGAGATGAATTAAACTAGTACTGAAACATGTCTGCAGAAGCCATGATAGGTTGATTCAGATATGATAAATTCAATGGATTCATGAAATTATCAATCATAGGAGACTCAGTGATGAAGCTTGAAGATATGGAGGTTGTGTCCAGAGCTCCTCCGTAGGAGGTAGTGTTGTTGTTGTTGTTGTTTGCAGTAGTAGTACTCAAGAAGGCGATGATCTCATTCAAAGACTCCAATCTATGGGTGAGCTCATCAACTTGAGCTCTCAAGACTGAGTTTTCAGACTCAATGGTGAGGAAATGCTGAGTTGTGATATTGACGTTTGTGATGATCTGATGATTTTCCTTCCTCAGATGCGCCGCCTGCGCCATTAAATCATCCAAATGCTTCTGTTTCCTCATCCTTGACCTCCTTGCTGACTCCCTGTTTGAAATCATTCTCTTCCTTTTCCTCTGATCCATCAATGCCCTCAAATCCTCCTCAGAACCTGAGTTCTGCAACATAGAACCTGACCCTGACCCTGAACCTGAAGATGTCCCACTTGAGGAAGCCATAAAAATCCAATCTTTCTTCACAACTCACAGTACAGTTTTAGATGCAAGAGATAACTAAGAGAGGGATCTTAGCAGGACCCAGATAGCTCAAAACACAGACAGACAGACAGACAGCAGAAACTAATTAAACTGATGATGCAAAATTTATATTATATATGATTATGCAGATGATGAAATTATTATAGATTATAGACTAATTAAAAGAAAAGATTTTATTAAAAAAAAATCATGAAACGTAATACAACCAGTAGAGGAAAACAACTGAGAAAGATTGAACAAGCTGGGTCCTGCGTCTGAATGTGGAAGAATATATCATACACTCAGAAAAGGAAAGTTTACTCAGAATTGGAGACATGAATCTCAAACATCAACGCCAATAACTTGAACATGAGTTTAGAGAAAACCCACTTCTTCCAATGCAAAAACAAAAAGAAGAAAGAAGAAAAACAAGATAGAAACTGCTTATGTTTGAGACAGTTTGAAGAAGAAGAAGAAGAAGAAGAACCCAAATATGAAAGATAAATGGCTTGAAGATGAAGATTGAAATATGCTAAAGAAATAATTGAAGATATGCTGAGACAAACTAATGGTGAGGAAGAAAAGGAAAAGTAGAAGAGGGGGAAGAGAGATTTGGGGGGGTGGAATTTATAGCAGTAAAAGAGGAAGAACAAGTTGATGAGAATAAATTAATTTAATAAATAAATAAATAAATAATAATAACAAAAGGGACTAAGGGAGGTCTGGGTTTTGGAATCTCTTCTGAGACTGAGAGAGAAAAAGTTGTTGGGGAAAGTTGATGGGACATGTGAGGTGAGGAAAGAGAAGTGGCCACAACCGTCCAGAAACCAGATCCAGCTGGGAACCAACAATCTCAGATTTTACTGCAAGAGAAAAAAACGTCGTCGTTTAGCAGTGGAACCAACAATCTGAGTTTGCATTATCGTCATCGACGGCTATTATTCTTCCATGTTCTATTGTTTGTCGCATTACCTCATCACCACCATTGGATTCGAATTCTACAGCTACCCTTTTTTTCCCTTCAAGATTTCAATTTTTACTGCAAGAGAAACGACGTCGTTTGGTAGTGGAACCACCAACTACCTCAGTTTGCATCATCAACGGCTCTTATTCTTTCATGTTCTATTGCTTGTCGCACGAAGTCGTCACCACCATTGGATTCGAATTCTACGGTTAACCTTTTTTTTTCTTCAAAATTTCAAGTTTTACTACAAGAGAAAAAACGGCGTCGTTTCATAGTGGACCAAAAATCTCAGTTTGCGTCATCATCGTCGGCGGCTCTTATTCTGCCATGTTCTATTGCTTGTCGCATCAACTCATCATCACCGTTAGATTCGAATTCTACGGTCACCGTTTTTTTTCCTTTAAATTTTCAAAATTTACTGCGACAAAAACGTCGACGTTTCGTTTCCCAGTGGGTCTACTCTGAGTTGTCATCGAGATGTGTGTTAAGGAGATTTCATTCATTCACAAAAAAGCCTGTGGAGCAGAGGCAGAGTCCAGAGAGCACCTGCAGAGCAGTCACATATTGATCTCGATTACTGGTATCGTCGATGATTTTGAAGCGTTTAGTTGTAGTCGTTATGGGCCTTCTTTTAACTCCAGCGGTAAATTCCTGACACGGGTCATCTGGAAATTTGTAAAATCTAGGGATGTAGAATCTCTCATTTGATACAAACTTTGGGTTTTGAGCTTCACCAAAACGACACCCGATTTGGCGTCTTTGAGATTCCCTTTGTCGTGCAATTGGTAATGAATGTCGCAGTCAGTGGGACGGGACTGCAAAAACTTCTTGGAATTTTGCAGCGAAAAGGGTGACGTTAATATAACTGGGCGAGTTTTGTGAGTTTCTGTGCATAGTGAAAAGGTTAAAAAAAAAAACAAAGGGGGAAAAGATCTTCTTGGAAAGTTGGGCGCCATCATGTAAACTCAAAAACATTAAAGATTTGATTTGATGGTGATGAAACTGGTTCATTGAATGACTATAAGGGTTACAGTATGAATTATTAGAGGTTAAATCACCTTGATTAAATACAGTACTAAACTTACAGTTAAGATTCTATCAAATCTCAAGCTCGTCTCTGTCATAATATCAGTGGTATTTAAGGTTGATTTGTAAAAGAAAGTGTTTATATATATATATATATAAAAGGTTATAATATACAAAAATAAGTCAAGTCAAATATATAAAATATGATGGATATGTGTTAAGTTTCAATACTTTAAATAAGCTAAAAAATAAAAGGCTTTTGAAAAAAGCTCAAATTTAGAGATTCTCTCATAAACCATAAAATAATTTCTTTTAAATCATGTAAGCATTTTTGAAATGTTACCGGACAACCTAAAAAAACCTTAAAAGTATTTATAACTTTAAATAAACTAATCCTAAAGGATTGGTCTAACGGTTAAAGAGATTTGTTCAGTTTTTGGGTTTTAAAATTAGGGTCACCTATCTGGTTCTTTGAGTTTATAAGATGTTCAATAGACTCTACAGATTTGTTGAGGTATGCACAAACTAACCATAATATCCCGATTACCAAAAGAAAAAAAAAACTTTAAATAGGTGTTTTGGTAAGTAGATAAACTAAACCGAACAGATTTGGTCTATTAGAATGAACATAAAAATATTATATCATTATATTACATTAATATAAAATTAAGAAACATTTAAACAATGCTTTTAAAGTAATTAAAATATATTTTTTGGAAAAAAAAATTATATAATTAATGAAGATATTCAAAAGATAACCCAACATAAAAGGACACTCTTAAATGCACCTACTTTAAAACACTTTTGCATTGACTATATAGGAACTTTATTTGAAGATTATAACAAGATTTTCTTGGTGGGATATTTTTAAATAGAGAAAGTGTTTTTGTCATGTATTCCTAAGTGATCATTTAATTCGAAATACACCCACAATATACACTTATTAGACAAATCTTCATACTAAACCTAATACATGATAAAACGAGTTTAGATATAACTTATCTTAAAAGTTAGATTAAGGAATGAGGGAGTCTAACCATATATATATACCATAACATCCTACCAAATTAACGATGTAAGACAAATACAAATTCTAAAATTAAAAAAAAAAACCGTATGTAATAATTTTTTTTAATAACCGTGAGTATTTTACATTGATTATATATTTGATTTAGAAACACAACAAAATCATAGAGCTATCATTACCAAAATAAGATCGTGTTTTTGTTGGCTTTTTTGTCCCTCACTCTCTCTCTCTTGTTTGGTACATTGTATCAAATTTTATCTTCACTTTTGACTTAACTTGCAATTTACCTTCACGATGAAGAAATCAATTCACTAGTGCTTGAGTTACCCAATTTAGATAGAATAAATTTATACGAATCAAGCCCAAGTACTTTTCAGAATCATACCAAGTAGGCCATGGAAAACCATGAATATCTCTTTAAGTGTAATGGTATATATTAATTATTTAGCTTGTGGCTAGATGACAAGACTTTAGGTTACTCAGAGGTTTTATGCTCAATCCCACCAAGTAGTCATCTGTCACATTTATGACTTACCTAGACTCTGAGATTAGTTGAGGTACGGACCATTGTTTTAAAACTTGAACCGAAGGGCAACTCGTTTTGCTGTCCGGGTCATGGGTCAACTGATCCAACCAATTGGATCGGGCGGTTAGACTGATAATGTCGCGACAATTTTATTTTTAAAAAATTACTATTAATCTCTTAAATTTCAATATATTACAAGAATTCCCCTAAAAAAGTTCAAATTAGTCCTTGAAATTTTTATTTATTTCATAATACCACAAAAATATCAATTAATCCCTAAACTTTTGACATATCTCCAAAACACCCCTATAAATTACAAATTAACCCTTATAATTTTAAAATATTACAAAAACCCTCCTAAGACATAAACCAGACTGGAGAAGCTGCCGGGTCCCAGTTGGACTGGCCAGTCTGGTTCGGTTTTTAAAACAGAGGTACGAACGCCCCGGTCACAAGGGAAAAAAAAGTGGTATATATTCCCAATTTGATGGCATGAATTCATTAGCATCTACCGTGTTTGTGGTCATGTGGGTTTATTGTATGTTCTATTTCACTTACAAATATCCTTTTTGGTAATTTCAATTTAAGATGTATATTTAGTTTCAAAAAAATCAATAATGGGGCTTAAAAAGAGTTTTACTGGGCTTAAATAACACTACTTAGTAAATACTATGGCAAAAAATTCGGCCCAAATCCCTGGTATCTGACCCGGCTCAGACATAAATTAAATAAAACCCGGATATAATGGTTTCAAATTTCAAACCCGAGAATAACTTTTATTTTAACAACAAAAATAACCCTAAAATAAGTGATATATCGTTTTTGCCCTTCATTTAAAACTCTTCTAACAACTAGCAAAATCGTACCGGGATCCATTTTAACAGAGTAAGGGCATTTGTGTCCATTCGATCACTTTATTAAGACAAACTCAATTACTCTCTGAAACCATTCCCTTGAAACTTAGTTAATGACAAATTCGTCCCGTGGCTCCTTCCGCCTGGCCATCGCACAAGGCACAACCTCTAATAGTTCGCCGCCCCTCCTCTTAAGTCCCACCAACCGACGATTGCTCTAACCCATACGCGCGCCTGATTGTTTTTTGAAGAGGACAAAACCGGCTGTTCGTGTTGATGTTCCGGTGAGTTTTTTTTATACTCTTTTTGGTAATCGTTGGGTAATAAACGTTGGATTTGGGTATGGCTTGACTGAGTAACGGTGCTGTGGTGGTGTGTTTTGTGTTTTCCTTGTGGCTCCTTTATAGTGTGATTGGGTTTTCACAGTGGCCGATTTGGTTGTAGCTTGTAGGATGTTTCTTCAATTATTAATCTTATTGTTTTATATAATTTGATCTATAATACTTACTGGACCAAAGAGATTCTTTCCCCAAAAGTATTTCTTCTTCTCTTACACATTTTACGGGTACGAATTACGACTTTCTTGTTATCCAATGAGGCTTGTTTAAAATTAATGGATTTTGTAAATTACGGTTCAATATTGTTTACTGTGAATAATGCTCTGAGTATGCGCTCGTGTTTTGGTGAAGTGGGTTATGCATCCAAGGTGTTTGAAGAAAGTTGTGTATTGGTTGATAAAACTTGCCTTGGTTCTGCCTTGTCAAAAAACTGCTTCTCCATAATTCGAATTATTTTACGTTTAATGTTTATTATTATTTACAGGGGTGCGTTAAGGGTGAGTACTGTATTGACTTAACCATCATTGGGTGGCCACATAGTAAAAGAGCAAAGGGTTCTAATATGGTTTCTGATTTTGGGTCCTCTTAAACCTTAATAGTGGTGGTTATCGAAGAGATTTACACGGTCGGTAATTTCAGGATCCTGAAAGATTAGTTGAAGTACGTGTAAATTGACCGAATATCTTCTGTCAACAAAAAAATATAGTGGGTGCGTTTGTTTCAATATTTCATACCCTATTCCCAAAATATCTGTTTGTTTAGTTATTTGAGAAATATTATTAATTTAGTTAAACACCCCTAGAAAAAAAAAGTTTAAAAATGAACAAAAATATCCCCACCCACCCATAGTTGCTAGACGGTGGTTGTCGGAATCTATCTCAATGACATAGAAACGATTGGAATTAGCCAATAATTCGTCGATCTGGCCTTTTCTGATCAGATCCACAGTGGATCTGGCTAGAAAAGGCCAGATCTGGCTGTCAGTGACGACCAAAGAAATGGCTGTCATTGACGGTTAACGACGACCATATCTTTGGCTGTCGTTGACGGTCAAATCTGGCCTTTTGCAGTCGCCGACGACCAGATCTAGCTGTAGACCTGAAAAGGCTATGTCGACGCACGAACGATCAGATTTGACCGGTCTATGTCGTAACGCCGTTTTTTGGCCAAATTCCGTCAATGGTGGCCGGAATCTGGCACTATGGGTGGGTGGGTTTTTTTTGCCATTTTACAAATTTTTTATATATTAGGGTATTTAGTTAAATTAGCAAACTTAGGGTTTTTTTGTTAATATTTAAATTTTACCTCGTAATACTAACCCTATTCATCTACCCAATATTTTTTCCAAAATGCTATCCAAATTAACAAAACAAACCCACTCATTGTATTTAGTTCACTGGGTGAATTTTAATCAAGGGCAAAAGAGTTAAGTCCCGTTACTTTATGGTTACTTTTGTAACCAATTTGAATGAAGATTTCCTGACCCGACCCGGAAACCTTTGGCCTGTCAATAAAGAGTGATTATTGAACGGTGAAGAGATTCGAAACCAGGTTGTCGTCTTCGTATGAAAAACAAGAGGCTCTTTGCCATCGGACTAAATAGACGATTAATCGATATGCTTTTTGCATATATTTTATTTGATACCTCTCTACGACATACCGCTCTCCCTACAGTTGCAGCTGCACATGATTTTAAAACCCTAGCCTTAGGCAGTGGTCTAGATAGAGGTAGTTTCACCGTCTCTATGTTTCTCTCTTTTCTGCTATGATTTATACATTATTCTTTTCAGTTCATAATTGATAGGGAAATATTGAAGGGGCAACATATGGTGATATTTTAGAATGGAATTTGAAAACAATAATCACGTCTCTTCTGCTTCGTTTTCCTTATTTTAAAGTTGATTGTTGAACTAGAAGTTGTGTTGAATAAGCCTAATCCATGTGGTAGACATTTTTAAATTTTCTATGGTATGGAAGCTTTTATGTGCAAATTTATTTTTGGTGTGGTTTTAGGCTGGAGACATTGAGACAGAAAGAGATTTTATTCAATTAATATTTGCAGGGTCAAATAATTGGAAAGAAGTATATGGGAAATGAGAACTATTGTTGTTAGGTTATTGAATTTAACCAATTATATGGTATTTAATTCAATCTGTGAATAACAAAAGTTATGTTGCATTCATCTGTGATAAATTGTAAATGTAGTTGAGTATATATGGATTATCTTTTTCTGTTTTTCAAAATGCATGGAAAAAGAAAATATAAGTTTACTTCAGTATAGTATCTACTGTGATAATTTCTTCATTTCCTTCATTGTTGTCCTGTCTTATTATGTTTTGCTTTTACATTTTCTTTAATTCATCTGCATGTTGATCTTGTGGGTAGAGACAGGATTTTGACTACTGTATGCAAACGGTACTTTTGGTATTAGACAAACTCTATGGATTTAGATGACGAGCTTTTTGCTGGTGAATCTGGACCTGCAGTAAACCATGGTAAGAATTCTTTGAGAATCTAACATAAAAGGGGGAAACACTGCCCTTGCATTCTTGCAATTCTGTATCTGCATTAAGGATTATTGTCTGATAGTCTATCATTTGACAGGTCGTGGTAGGTTTCAACCGAGAGCGAAACTAAGACCTAGAAAGGAAACAACTCCATCTATTGCTTCTTCAATACCAAGCAACACAAAGGAAAAGACCGTTACAGAATCATCCCCTAGCTTGAACACAACACAGCCTGTTCAGCCTGCCGATAATGGTGATAGTAGATTGACAAAACCGTCTATCTCTGAAGTCAGAGAACCCTTGAAAACTAATGATGATTCTTTATCACGATATCCAATTTTGGATGATAACTTGAAATCACAAGTCGTGAATCCATCATCAGAAGCTGTTGCGAGGATAGATGATATTGGTTCTGGAGATGTTCTGCCTATGAAAGTTGAAGCATTAGCGAAACAGGTAAACACAAGTATTTGTTTTTCTAAAAATTGCTATACTGTGACGAGTTGTTATTGGTTTAATTGTATCGTCTCCTTCAATTCTCCCTGGTGATGGAAAACAGAAGGACATGGCACAAACCTCCGGCAACTCAGACATTGAACAATTAGTTCAGCCAATTGATGTTTCAAATAGAGATTACAGAATGACAGATCCTGTTGGTTTGTCCTTGGCTGCTGTAGAAATTGGTGGGTCTGAAGAACAATTAAAAGGGAATGATGACTTTGGACATGCCATGCATTCAGAGGTTGCAGGCTCTGATGTCTTTGGAGCTTTGCACTCTTCATTTGAAAACCCAGTGGGAGGTAAAACGAAAGGAATTTTTACTTCCCTGCTATTGTTGTTTTTTCACTATATGTTGACAAGTTGTGTTCTTTTTAGAGTGCAGACATGTTTGCTGGTTTGGAATGTGTCACTAATTATCCTAGCCACTCTAGAAATGGGATGGGTGAGTTATGAAGAACCTTTTAACCTGTCTTAACTTCAAAATTAGAGTTTTTTTTAACTCTGTGCTGAGCACTTCATATATTTCAGAGAAGCCAGCTCTTAGTGATTTGGATATCATAGATGGAGGTGAAAATGGTGGTATTCAGGGTCGAAATTCTGTTAGCACTTCTGCATCAAGGGAATGTGATGCTTCACAAGTTGAGATTTGTGCTGATTTATTCATGGTCCAAGATACAGTGACCTGTAGGGAGACTTGTATTTCTAGTAGTGATGTAGTTATCCCTGTTGATGATGGAAGAATGAAAACAGAGGTGAAAATTAATGTTTATGAAAATATCTCATTATTTTTGCTAAAATGTTATTTGAATTGATTTTGTTCAAATGTTGTTTAGGTTCGGCAACCCAGGGCCTGTTCTGACTTGGGAACTGATTTTATATCTGAGGCAACAGTTGCATCTGGTATTATAAAATCATCTACTTACATCATTCTATCTTTTCTTATATATTGGGGTTTTATTAAACTTGTTTTGATTTTAGGATGGCATGCTGGGAAAATCAAAACCAAGCCCAAGTTACGAGCTGAGAAGGAGAAATCTAGTATCAGCATTACTTATGCTGATGCAGTTGAATCAGTTATGCAGCCACCAACTGCTGAGTTTGTTTCTTCTGAAACTCAGTACGTCTCAGAGGGCTCATTTTCTGTCTTTCCGCCTGATCACATGTTTGATTACTCATCCATAGACTTGGGTTATATCATTCCACCTTCAGAGTCTATAGCCTCTGAATTCCCAATGCATGAAGAACTGACAAATCTTGCAGAAACATCTCATGCTGACACTACTACTTTGGGGGATGTACAAACAGAGGATGTTTGTGGAATGACTGAAAATTCGGTAATATTTTATCTAGATTTGTTTCTTTTGAGTTAGTTTCTTTCATAGATAAAATGCTTTGCAGAATTGTAGTAACCTGGTCAAACCCTTTTGTTCCTTTTATTGGCTTTCTTAGGGTTCTGTTGGTAGGGAAAGAAAAGCGTCTACCACATCAAATTTGTCTCAGAGGTCAAATGAGTCTTCTTTGGTTAGTGAGGAGCATAAAGGTGACAAATCATCGATGAAGCTCAGAAAGCGAGTAGCTGCTCCGCAACTGGTTGATGAGCCTGATGATGAGACTCATGACAGCTTCACTGCTGAACCTCTAAGTAGCAATGTGGATGAAGATGTAGGTAATAATGGATCTAGAGTGGAAAGTAAAGCTCAGAAGAAAAGAGCACCAAGAAATTCAAAGAAACCTGTGCCTGAAAACGAAAAACCAGTTCGAAAGCGCAAGAAATCCAATGAAGAATCGGATCAGTCAACCAAAGAACCTCCCAAGAAGTTCTCTCATTCTACTCGCCGAAACAGAAGACGTGGTGATTGCAACTTTTGTCTATCATAAATTATTCTTTTGGTGATTCTTTAACCAAATATAAATATATTCTATTTTCTGTCTTGTAGTGAGTAAGGAATTGCTTGACACCCCAGAGGATGAAATTGACCCTCGAAAGGTGCCTCTGAAGGATCTTATTATATTGGCAGATTATAGGGAGCGGTTAGAGGTATAAGTAATGATGTTGTAGTTTTTTATTTTTTATTTATTTATTTTTAAAATTTTAGGAGTAGAAGTTACTATATTTTGTTTTCATCATATATCATTCCCAAAGTTAGTCATATTATATTTGCTGATTGATTTTGTTTCTATCCATCTCTTCTTTGCTGACTAGAATTGCCCATTTGCAGAGTAAAGAGACCAAAACATCAACAACACCCTTGACCAATCAAAGGTACATGAATTTTTAACAAAAGTCATATCTATGTCAACAAGGTTTTTATTGTAATTAGTCATCATGTTAGGTGGGGCTGCCTTATTCCATAATCAGTCTTTTCATTTTAGGTGGAGGAACCATTTCCTTTATCACTTCCATGAATTTACATTTTTTTACTAATGCATAATATATAGAAACAAGCTTTATTGTGATTTGTAAAAAAGGCATCTGAAGAACAAGTATATACTGTGAATGTTTTCCTTCTCACTGCTTTACTATTTTGTTTTCATCTTCTTGATTTACTTTGCTTTAATTAAATATTTGTTTGTCTTCTCTGTGTTTGCCTGTACACATCAACGCATAATTTTCTACACATCTCGTTCTCTATAGGTAGCCTCATAGCTGCATGAGTCTATGCATTTTTAACTGTATATGTATTCTTAAGAAGAAGGAGAAAAGAAGAAGAATATTTTATATGGGGCTTTTGTATCACTATTGGGGTCGATTTGAAAGTGTTAAGAACAACCCCTGTGCTTCAATGGATCCTAAAGTTGTTCACCTATGGCGGGGGCCTTAAAAACCCAGGATGCACCTTCTTCAGAGGAAATTGGCCAAACTTTTAATCACCGAGTATTCAACTCAGAATCCCCTAGAAAGTCCATTCTTTTAAAGGCCATCCTACTTTAGAAGTTACAAATGTTTCCTCAACTTGCTAGAAAGTTGATATATGCCACTTGTAAGAATCTCGGACTTTCAGCCACAACTATCTGAACAGTTGCTGCTACAGATGTTATGGCATTTCTTTTGGGAAAATAAAGTTAAATACTGTTTCACTCATGTCTGCTAGTTTCCTGTTTGAATTCTCAATTACGTTGTCTTATGCAGTTGGTTGATTTATTTTTTCTGATTACAATTGTTTTCTGTTCAGTGCTGAAAATCCTTTTGATGAGGAGGATTATCATAATGGAGAGGAGACCTTTGCTTCAGAACAAGGCAGTGGCTATACTGGTGATCAAGCAACTCGTAGGGTTCAGTCAAGCCACTTCAACTATCAGTCTTTCATGAAGAAAACACCGACTGTAAGATGGTCAAAACAAGACACAGATTTGTTTTACGAGGTACACTTAGCAATATTTTTGCATTGGTTTTCTGTTTCCATTGAATATCAACTTACATGCTAGATGCATATTTCTATGTTCACCATGTAAGCACTATGTCAGTGGAGAGTTTTCCATGTTTTTTGTTTAGCACTGTTGCAGCTCCCAGTTTTGGTAACTAGAAAGAGATTTAAAGGGGTCTTGTTTATCAATTCTTTGTGATGATTAATTGGTTACCAGGTTCTTTGTTGACTGTATTTTGGATGATGCTAAAGAACAGTTATCATCCGCTCAAGTTAATTCACCATCTTGCTTTTATTTTTCTAAAATAGCAGTGGCAAGATTAATCATCATAAACTGCATTGTGTGGATGTTTGTGTCTTCTTCTCATCCAAGCAGTGCCTGGGTATCTGTATCTATATATATATATAAATATAGTGGTAGAATATTCCTGATATACTTTATAATATATGGACTATAGGCTGTTCGGCAGTTTGGTACTGATCTGTCGATGATACTACAACTTTTCCCTGGAAGAACACGTCAGCAAATCAAGTTAAAGTATAAGAAGGAAGAGCGTAAACAACCGTTGAAGCTTAATGAAGCTCTCACCAATCGTTCCAAAGGTAGAAGACTTCTTTCATAATTGTGACAATTTGAGCCTTGAGCTAGCTGCCGTCGTAAGTGCTAGAGTAACTTATATATCATTTTGCTGCAGATCATTCTCATTATGAAAAGGTGATTGAGCAGCTTCAGCAAGTTGCTGCACAGACACGGCAGGACACTAATGGAGATGACCCAACTGACATAACAGGCGAAGAGGTGGAGGAGTTGGCTACTGAAATTAATGTATGTTTTATGCTTTCTTTTGTGTTAACCATTGAGACTTACTTGTTACTTAATGTTAGGATTCCATATTGGAAGGGAAAATGGTGGGCATGTGGGTTATAATGGACTTGAGCACCCGCCCTTGGCAAGCAGGTTTTCCAAGGAGAATTCAACCCAAGCTTACAAAAGGCCCACTATCCAACCGAATTGCTTGAGTTGTTAGATCGGTATCTATCAAATGGTATTAGAGCTAAACCCCACCTGAGCCGATGTTCTGGAAGGGGTGACTTGGGAAAGGGCTACCTAGGAAGGGGTGACCTCTGAGAGTAGGCCACTCAGAGTAAAGCAATCTAGAGTGGGCCAACGATGTTTCGGAAGGGCCGACCTGGGAGAGTAGGCCACCTAGAATGAAGCCGTCCAAAGTGGGCCAACGTTGACGTTGAGTCTCGAAGCGTGGGGGAATATTAGGATCCTACATTGGAAGGGAAAATGGTGGGCATGTGGATTATAAAGGGCTTAAGCATCCTCTCTTGGCAAGCCGGTTTTCTAAGTAGAGTTCTACCTAAGTCCACAAAAGGTCCACTGCCAAGCCAAATCGCTTGAGTTGTTAGATGGGTATCTATCACTCAACCGTTGAGAACCCTAAAAGTTGAGAAGAACTTCAGATTAGTCAATTCAAAATCCATTTAATCGTAATATGGGCCAACCTAATGGTAGTAAAAATTTGCAGGCTGATTTTCATACTTTTGTTTATGGCATTCATTTGTGGTTATTGCACGTTGTCCTTAATGATTGTTCTGGTGAACTCATTATAGATGCATTCCCTAAATATATAGTCAAAGCCTTCATAACTGTCTCACTGAAGTCATTTTATTGTCTGTTGATGGATATGTGTGGTAGTAAAGCAAAGTATGAATTTATAGGAAATTCAATGTGTGTTTGCAGGATGAAACAGAAAATGTTAAGCAGGATGAAGATGGGAAAGCTGATGTTACCGAAATCGATGGTCCATTGAAGGCTGATGAAGACGACGACGACGACGATATATTTAGTTCATATAGAAGTGTATTTTAGCAATTAAACACTAATAAAGATTACTCGATATTTATCTCATTTTCCTTTATGGTAAATCATTCTATCCCTCTATAAGTAATTATGTTTTCCGCATAACTCACACCAAACACAACCCAGATTCTTAATATCAATAAAAAAACTCATCGGTCTTCCTTTTTCAAAAGTTTCAACAATTTAGATCAAGTTTGTTTTTTATATGTTATTGAAATATAAATTTAGATAGTAAATTAGTATTTTAAAAGTTTATAAATAAAAATGTGTTATTAAACTATTTTTTGGGTGGAAAAAAGTCAGCTTGTAAAGGTGACAAGCAAGACTTTTGACAGTATGATTATTAGCTAATCACGCCTACTAATCATATTGTGACCCATTAATTAAATAATTAAGAATGGTTGAGACATCTCGACAGTGGCAAATTCGTGTTTTTGTCGTGCCGACATTCCTGCATAGTCTTTAGCCAAGCTCTGGGAGCCACCGTCTTCCAAAATAATTATGCCTTGATTCGTCTCTTTATTATAAAAACAATATATGCAAGTGTAATTGGTCATTTTCAGTAATTGTCTATTATAATTAAATTCCAATTATTAATTATTTGTAGATATTATTTTTATGACGAGGAAATCTTCGGTGCAACGGATGCATGTACAACCACTCAAAATAATATCTAACGTAGAAACGCAACACATTCATTTGGTGCAACCTCATTCGGTGGTTGTAACTATAATGAAAATTTATTATATATATATATATATATATATTATTTTTTTTTTTTTGGGTAAACTTGACAATTCTCTCACCAGTGACTCGAATACAAGACTTCTAACTATAACTAATCTTATTAGCAAATGGTTCTCTGGCAATTCAAACCTTTGTTTTAAAAACTAGACTGGATTGGTCGATCGGACTAGGACTTGGCAACTTTTCCAGTCCGGTTCAGGTTTTAGGGGGTTTTTGTAATATTTTAAAATTATAAGAGTTGATTATAATTTTATAAAAGTGTTTTGGAGATATATAAAAAGTTTAGGGATTAATTGGTAATTTTTTGGGGTATTTTTGAAATAAATAAAAAATTTAGGGACTAATTTAACTGTTTTGGGAAAATTTTTGTAATATATTAAAATTTGAGGAATTAATATGTAATTTTTTAAAAATAAAATTGTCGCTAATGTCATCGGTCCAACTGGCCGATCCAGCCAGTTTGACCGATTGACCCGTGACTCGAGCAGCAAAACGGGTTACCCTCCAGTCCAGATTTTAAAACAATGATTCAAACACAAGGCCTTGGGAATAGCTAACCTGGGTGGCTAACAATAATATTTTGCTTACAATTGAGTCATACAAATAGACAAAAATTATATAAAATTTATATAAAATGACTACTATATCCTTTATTTTTTATCTGTTTGTATGACCTAATTGTAAACATAGCATTACTCGATGGTTAAAGGGTTTACCATCCGATCACAAAAGAAAAAATCTTCTAATATAAGATTAATAATTTTTTTACATGACAGAGACATGTACGTATAATTTTCATGGCTATATACACGCATAAGAGTTGACCGAAATTAAACTCAAACAATGCCTTTCAAGTTTCAATGCACAAATATAATTTCAAATAATGCACGTTTATTGCATTTAAATTACTTTTTCAAATTTAAAAAAATGGTCAAAGATACCATTTCCTTTGCCTTTTGAAAAAGTCCCCTCAATTCAATATCAAACATTTATCCAAAGCCAGACTAGTTCAAAATAAATAAAATACCTTCATAAGAGATTACCCTTTACATAATTTCACATTTTATTTATATTTAATAAATAATTATAACGATAAAATAAAAAAAGTTTCCTTGAATTTCTATATTGAAGCAACGAGTGTCACTTGAAACTATCATTGGATGATCCAACGGTTAATTAGGACTCTTGAGTGTAATGCTCAAGAGGTCCTAATTTAGATCTACGGATTAATTGAGATGTGCACAAATTGATCCGGACATACAGATCACAAAAAATGGAAAAGAAAAAAAAAGGTGTCACCCATGGTTTGACCAAATTATTGTGAACCCAAAAGATTAAAAAGAACAAAATTATTTTGTTTTAGTGTGAGAATATGACCTAATTATTATATAATTACAAACCTTGGCCGTAAACTAATGGGACACGCTGATTAAAAAAAAAACAAAACAAAAAAACAAAAAAAGTTTCCTTGAATTTCTATATTGAAACAACGAGTGTCACTTGAAATTATCTTTGGATGATCCAACGGTTAATTAGGACTCTTGAGTGTAATGTTCAAAAGTTCCTGATTCGGATCTATCTGGATTGCTAATAGAGATGACACTTTTAGGATCCCAAAAATTAATTGAGATACGCACAAAGTGATCCGGACATACTGATCACAAAAAAAAAAAAAAAAGGTGTCACCCCTGGTTTGACCAAATTATTGTGAACCCAAAAGATTAAAAAGAACAAAATTATTTTTATTTAATTATTTTGTTTTAGTGTGAGAATATGACTTAATTATTATATAATTACAAACCTGGTCGTAAGCTAATGCGGACACACTGATAAAAAAAAAAAAAAAAAAACAAAAACAACGAGTGTCACCCGTGGTTTGACCAAATTTATGTGAACCAAAAGATATAAAAGAACAAAATTATTTTTATTTAATATTTTTGTTGTATGTGAGAATATGACCTAATCATTGTATAATTACAAACCCTGGCATTTTTATCCTACCGCCGGCAATTCCAAATTCAGTACAACATACCTCTGCCCCAATCGCCACGTGGCAATCGAATCCCCGATTCACCCGGCCCGCCCTTTCTCCTATAAATATTCCCCTCATTTCTCTCTCTACCTCCTCACTCCTGTTCCATTCATTCGCCGTCGTTTTATCGGCGATAAATTTAATTATCTAATTTATTTATTTAATAAATTAATTATCAGGAATTATAATTTCCTTTTTATTTTGTAAATATTTTCCGTTCGGTCTGATGCATTTGTGACCGTTCGATCTTCCTCCGGATCGCGTCGGTAAGCAGAAATATCACCAATATTTAGGTACATTATTAATTTTTACTTATTATTATTATTTCCATTTTCGCAGTTTCTATTTATCGGATTTCAGTGGAGTTTGGGTTTTGTTACTTGAGTTTTGACCAGATTAGGTTTTGATATAGTGTTTGCTTGTGCATTGAGGCATTTAATTGATGAGTGATTTTTTTCCGATCGATCCATCGACCGATTGATTGATTACTGAAGCGAATAACACGTGCCTCGGTGTCCTGACGCGCCGTCTACAGATGTCGGTCCCTAGATCGGTTTGCCAGGCCTTGTGAGTATCAGCTCTTCGATTTTCATCAGTTTGTTTGTGCAGTTTCCACTTTATTTCAATTTTTTTTGTTTAATTCTAGTTCTAGGGTTTTAATGTGCAATTTTTTTTTTAATTAATAAAAATTGCTTTTTGTTGTGGCTTTAGAGAAAACCGACTCGATGAAATCAAGATAGTAAAGAAGCTTTAGTTAGTGAATTATGTTTTTTTCGTTTCAATTGATTCTTAAATAAATAAAAAAGAAAAAAAAAAAGTGTTTAGATGAAAATTCGTGATACTGATAACTTTGTAGTTTCAGAGCGTTCGCAAATTCACATACTATTGGTGTTCCTTTAATTTTTTTTCCCTTTTTTTTTTTTTTTTTTTTGTCTGGACATAATATATAAACTACAAAGAGCAAGGGGAGGTTGATTGGTATTTCTATTGGTATTCCAATTTTTTGGGTTGTACAGATAGAAGACTGAAGTTTTGGGTTCTTATTAGTTGTGATAGTAATTCTTTACTTGGTTAATGGGTCGGCCATAGGCACAAATCTATTTTAAAGTTAAATCTTATCAATTTTGATCAATCTTTAGAAGTTGTGACCTTTTATCATTTCTTATAAACAAAATGACGAAGGTAACTTCCTGATTTGAGATGTGTATCAAAACATACCTTTTATTCAATTTTGATTCATTTTTAAGGCTCCCATTGCAGTATGATTATATATTGATGTTTATCTGTGGCAGGCTTTGAGGGTTTTCAGGTAGTGATGAGAGGAGGAAAGGAATCAGATTTTGAAACTCTGAGGATGAAGGCGGTCGAGGATGGATCTTTGAAGAAGAAAGCCTTAATGCTTCCTCTAAATTCAAGCATTCTCTAAAGAAAAAGAGCAGTCGAAGGAAAAGATGGCGGGTTACTCTGTTTCAATTGAGGATGTGCGTGATGTTGAGGAGCTACAGGCTTGTTGATGCGTTTCGTCAATCTTTAATAATGGATAGTGTGCTTCCTGAAAAACATGATGATTATCACATGATGTTAAGGTCTAATATAACGCATGTGCATGCAAGTATTTTTGATTTCATTGTGTGACCTCTATGTTATTTTAAGCTATGAATAGTAATAATTTATATTAGCATCTTACACTTGCTAAATTACAATTAATACTATTAACTTCATCTTTGTTCATATGATCATGGTAAATGCACATACATTTACCTAGGATACATAAAGGATGATTGATCTCATGATTTTGTTCTTGTTACTTGCTTCTCAACACTTTTTTACTTTTGCTTTGGTTTTTTTTATTTTTTTATTTTTAAAACTGGCTGGGTTTGTTTTTCATATCATTGCTGGTTTCCTGGATTTATTAGAGCAATAGTTTGATAACTTTTAGGATGAAGTTTACCCTGTTCCAATGTTTATAACTTTCATTGGTTATAGTTCTTAAAAGCAAGGAAGTTCGATATTGAGAAAGCAAAGCACATGTGGGCTGATATGCTTCAATAGAGGAATTTGGTGCTGACACTTTATGGAGGTAACAACAGTTTATAGTATGCCTGAAACAAAAGTGCCAAATTACCAGTTTTTTATTTTTCTCTGTTATATTATCAGGATTTTGGAGTTTAAAGAAATAAATAAGTTTTGAAGTATTACCCTCATGGACATCATGGTGTGGATAAGGAGGGAAGGCCTGTTTACATTGAAAGACTGGGAAAAGTTGATCCTAACAAACTTATGCAAGTGACTACTATGGATCGGTATGTAAAGTTACATGTTCAAGAGTTTGAAAATCCTTTGCGGTGAAGTTTCCAGCTTGTACCATTGCTGCGAAGAGGTATCGATTCAAGTACTACAATTTTAGATTTTCAAGGAGTGGTAGTTTCTCTACAGCTGATTCTTGTATATATAGGTGCAATAAATATTTTACATTTTTACATTGATTGTTTTTGGTTTTCAATTATCTAGGGATTGAAGAATTTCACCAAGTCAGACACGGATCTCATAATGCGGCTTCAAAGATTGATGGTGATAATTATCCTGAGGTATGAATCTTAATTTTCTTAGTCATTGTAACTTGTGTTTTAGGGATTGAAATTTTTTTATGCTAATCTTAAAATTTGCTCTCTATCAATTCGATGCAGACTCTTTGCCAAATGTTTATCATCAATGCGGGTCCTGGATTTAGGCTGCTATGGAATACAGTGAAATCTTTTCTAGATCCAAAAACAACTTCCAGATTCATGTATGTTACGATGCTCTCTCTCTATATTAGAAGACTATCTGTTACTTGTATTGTCAGGATAAATGTTATATTTTGTAAACTTATCTATTTATATTTCTTATTGGTTCTGACGAATGAGGTTCTTGGAACGTACCAGAGCAAATTGCTTGAGATAATTGATGCCAGGTAAAGGAATTAATACATTTTTAGTGCCTTTTTCTAAACTGATTAATTCTTGTAATTCATTTTACTTAACCATAGTACTTACTTTATTAGCTTTATTGTGCTGAATGCCTCATGTTTGATGGAATTGTTTTTGCTATATGTTCAGTGAATTGCCAGAATTTCTGGTGGTAGCTGTACTTGTGCAGATCAGGGAGGCTGCCTTCGATCTGATAGGGTCCGTGGAAAAACCCAGAAATACTGAAGGTAATTTGTGGACCTTATTATTCACACGTGATGTAATACGTTAAATATTTTATGATTTTTATCACCCAGTTCTGATTTAAATGTTGGTTGGGTTTGCATTTGTTATAGATGGTCCTTCATGGAGAGCACGACGTGGCAGCAGGTTGTGAAAATTTTAAACAGTGAGGGGAAAGTTCTTGCTATGCTAAGCCATTACCCGATGGTATGACCAATTTTTAATTATTCTGTCCATAGGGCATGGCCTAGTATTTCTGTTCCTAGCTAGACTATAACATAAATTCTTTGTACATTTTGAAGCAGTTAAAGGGTAGTGATCATCCACTGCTGAGTCAGGATCTGAAGCAGAGACATTGCTTCCCCGAAGGCAATAAAGTCTCAATCTTCGATTGACTCCTGTTCGTGAAGAGTAGGTTTTTGAACATTCTTGTGTGATTATGGTTTCAATTTATTTAAAATTGAGATGTTTCTTGCCCGGGTGAATTATCTCTTGATCTATTTTAATTGAGATTAGCCGACTCTTTTTTAAACATTCTTACATAAGTATTGGTGAAATGACAATGCATGTTATATAAGGACCATCTTTCTAGTGATAATAATAATATGTAAATGACTTAAGAGTAAGTTAAGGATAGTACAAGGAAATTATTAGTTCTATCCAAGTATTAAATGTTGTTGCATAAGTGATTTCAATTCTCTTATCTCTTGTGGAATTGCAGGCTAAGGTAGCGGGAAACCAGGCTATGTTGGTAGCTTTTGCTGGGTATGATGATATGTTCCAATGGTTGACAAAGCTGTTGATGCTGGTTGGGAAGAAGCAAGCATCTCTGCAATGTCCTCTGCTTCCAAGGTTAGCAAGTCTGCTGTTTTTATTACCTACAACTTTGCATCTGTCTGTAGTCTATTTTATGTTGGTTAGGGTCTGGCATAATTACAACGATGCACATGCACTTACTCGTACTATGCATTTTCTCAAACCAAACCTCCTCTCTCTCTTTTTCCCCACCCTTCTCCTTGGTCTGCACGACTACAGTGTGTATGGTTATTCTCACTGAACTTAAAACCATTATGGGGCATGACTTGCTTTCATTACATATATAATCATCAGATTTCCACAATAGGCATCCTGTGTATGACAAAAATAAATAAGCGCTGTATGATGTCTTCAACATTTAATGGGGAAAATTACCCTATTGTATACAATGTTTCAATCATTTGTATAATTAAATAACTAGGAAATGTTTGCATCTTACTTTGTCGTCGTTTAATCTGGTTCTTGATACTATATACCAAGAAGTGAATTAATTTTTTTTCATGCAGGAACTCTTTCCCAACCTGTCACTTCAAAGGCACCAAAGGAATCCGTGCTCGGTTTTGGTTGCACTCATGGCATTCTTCATGCACCTCACTCTCTTCCGTTCAGTGGCCTCCCGGGTAACAAAGAGGCTTCCTGGCATCATGGATCATGTCAAATAATCCTGAACCGGCTGTTGATGTGACTCAAAGGAGGAGTTTCGGCCACCTCACCAGGTCCATCTTTTACTGAGGCAGATCTCATTTCATCTGTATGAAAAGATGGGTGACCTTGAAGAGAAAGTGAAACCCTCCAATCAAAACCATCTGAGATGCCGTATGAGAAAGAGGAATTGTCGAATGCTGCAGTTTTGTCGTGTAGATGCTCTTGAAGCAAGCTGATTCTACTAGAAGGTACGATACAGTGGATTGTCTAAAAAATGCTGAAGCTTTTATTGAAATGTCTTCAAAAGCTTCTTGGCTACAATTAAATCTATAAAGCTCCCTTAGACATCACTATTGGCCTTTCTGTCTTTATGGCTAATGCCCTTCACCTTGTCATTACCCGTAGGGAAAAAGGGTAACCTTTTGAAAAGGCCTGGTGCCAGCAACTCCCCAGAAATAAGAATTTTAGGAATAGAATCAGATTCTCATACACAGCTCGGCTTTCAACCTTGGAGTCTTCCTTTTTCTGCCATGGACCTAAACATCCTATTCTTTTGTTAGTTGTATATGTGTCACTGCATACTCAATGGAGTTTTTTTGTGTTTTTTATTCATGGTCCTTTGTTATGTTAACCTCTTTCACCACAATCGTTCATGGACTATTATGTTGATTTTATTTTATGCAGGCGCTCATGAAGCTTTAATGAACAAGAAGAATTGCTTGCGTACATAGACAGTCAGAGAAGCTAAGTTCAGGGTAGGTTGATTGATAGACCATTCTCTTATAATATAAGGAAGAAAATAAGTTCTATGTTTAATTCATGTTTGTGTTCTGATTTTCCCATCTTATATCAGAAAAAGAAGTTTTGCTGGAAGATGGTTTGTGGCGGAGGAGGCCTACACAGATTGCCGCCGTATCTCAATCACGAGATAATATACTGAACCAACCATGTGGATCAGCCAAACGTAACTACTCTCAACAGTGTAATTCCAAACTTATGTTAAGCGAAATTAATGTTTCGAAACTATGCTTTGTGTTGTTTATTCCTTTTTTAACTCGTTCAACTTGTTGACACTCGAAATGAGCACATTTAATATCATGAGCTTTCGTATATAAGTAGAGCTTTTGTGTATGTGTTTCATACTGAGAAAATTAACTTGGTTAGACTGCTAATTGCGATTAAAATTTAAACATTAACCATTGCCTTCGCTGAGCTAATAATATTAACCTCAGTGGCTGGCTTGTAAAAATTTTTAGCTCGGGAACTTTAAGTCTGAGCTTATTATATTGGCAATAACTAACCGGGGTGAAACCTGGCAAAGTTGTTGGGTCTTGGGTTGACCGGTTTGATCGGGTGGTTAAAAGTTTAACATTTAGCAAATATGCTCTTAAAAATTATAGTTAAGTCTTTACAGGTTTGAAATTTAGTAAACACACCTTGAATACGAATTGACGGCTGACTGGTTGGCGATCTGGTTGGCGATAGCGACACACCAAATTAAATCTCAATCATAGTTATTTCTAGAAAATCTACTCAAGATCTAGTATAAATTAGTTAGATCTCACCACTGTTGGTGTCGACAACCCTCCCCATCATCACAAAAATACTCCTCTCAACCTCTTGGCCAAAACGCATCTCACCCCACCCCCGTTTGACTCGCCAATTGTTGGCTGTTGCCGTTGTGGTTGTTTTTCTTTTAATTTCTAGTCAATTCACTCACTGAAAATCACCTCCGTCGTCACCATTGGACTCATCGGCCCTTTTTCTGTAAAAGCCCCAACATCTCGGTCTTCAATTGTTTGCTGATGACCGTCTCAATTTTTAGGGTTTTCGGTGAATAGGAAATTGATTACAGCATAGGAATCACACAAGCCCTTGAACGATAACATCAATAAAAGCCAGTGTAATTACTTTTCATTTTTCTTGTTGGTTTGGGTTGAAGAGATAAAATACGTTGTACTACAATCTTATTATATTTTCAAAAGCAATAGTATTATATATACAAACTTTATTATATTTTCGAAAACAGTAAGTTTATATATGTAAAGGATTCTATGTGACTCTTTGTGCCAATACAACTAAAATATACATTATATCAACAGTCAAATCAGTTAACGTATAAAGTTGAGATTATATTTTCAACGATTGAAAACCCCATAATACAAAACACAAACATTTGTATGTATGTTGATGGTCAAAGTGTCATATTCTCTACTTTGTTAATTGTTAGTAGATACATTCAAATGTTTTGCACTACATGAAGTGAGCAAAGGGACCTTTAACTTTCAACATATACACAAATGGCAAACTGTTTACAAGGAGGGCTTTTGAACTGAATGACAAACAAAAACAAACATGGTCAGACACAGAGAATTTGGGGCTGAAAAATCACCATAATCGCCACCATTATCAACAACATTTACTTACACTAATCTTCAGAAACATTAGAGCTTTCAACAAAACCACCTCACCAGTGAAAGACTCTGCATTTTAAAATCCAAAAAACTGATATGTGAAAACTCTATTTATGCTTCTCATTTATGCATAATCTTAAACTTGTTATAGTATTAAAGATATGCCTGACTTACCTTCTTCTTCTTCTTTTTCTTTTCAAGGTATGCCACCAGCTCTTGTTGTTGAGCAAGAGAATCTTCGAGCGCCTGCACAAGAAAACAATGGAATACATGAATAATGATCACCACATACCTTTTCTGAAATGGGAAACATGCTTTATACCTTCTTGGTGGCTGCTAGCTCTTGCTCCAGGGTGTTTACCCGGTTTACTGCAGCATTCAACATCTCTTCTTTCTCTTGTGGCATGGTGACAGGCTTCATGGTGAGAATGTTCACCCTTTCCTCTAGTTCAGCCATGCGCTTCATCATCAAATGGAATTCTGTACCTGAAACGGAGTGGGGTGGCAACTTCTGGACATGATGGCTTTTAATCATTGTGTCAGTGTAGTAATCTCCGCCGCTATACAGCGACGCTTCTGTGATTTTTCGTGGCATGTTTCGCGTTAAGCGAACCATGGTGACTATACCCATAACCACTGCCATCAGCCCACCGAGGAAGTGGTTGCTTACTCCCTCAGGATTCTTGCATCCACCTTTCACTGCAAAACAATCTGTGGCCAAATGGAGTAAGTATTATTGTTGAGTGTCTCAAGTCACATATCTTAATATATGACGTAAAAGAAAACAAGATTATGTACCTCTGGGGATGGTGAAGTTATCATCTTGGCTTGGGTTGAGCCAAGAAGCATCAACACTCTTATTGACAACTGGAACTCTATCATTAAACTGATAGACATCATTGAACTTCTTGTTCATGGAAGACTGCAATACATAAAGGCAACATAGAATTATTACGGTTATCCTTAAAGGCCACATAGAGGAAACTGTTGGAGATCGTAGTCTATTTTATGTTGGTTTAGGGTCTGGCATAATTACACAGATGCATGCACTTACTCGTACTATGCTATTTTCTCAAACCAAACCTCCTCTCTCTCTTTTTCCCCACCCTCTCCTTGGGTCTGCACGACTACAGTGTGTATGGTTATTCTCACTGATACTTAAAACCTTTATATGGGGCATGACTTGCTTTCATTACATTATATAATCATCAGATTTCCACAATAGGCAATCCTGTGTTGACAAAAATAATAAAGCGCTGTATGATGTCTTCAACATTTAATGGGGAAAATTACCCTATTGTATCACTGTTTACAATCTTTGTATAATTAATAACTAGGATAAAATGTTTGCATCTTACTTTGTCGTCGTTTAATCTGGTTCTTGATACTATATACCAAGAATGTGAAATTTATTTTTTATGCAGGAACTCTTTCCCAACCTGTCACTTCAAAGGCACCAGAAGGAATCCGTGCTCGGGTTTTGGTTGCACTCATGGCATTCTTCATGACCTCTCACTCTCTTCGTTCATGGCCTCCCGTGTCACAAAGAGGCTTCCTGTGCATCATGTGATCATGTCAAATATCCTGAACCTGCTGTTGATGTGACTCAAAAGGAGAGTTTCGGCCACCTCACCAGGTCCATCTTTTACGAGGCAGATCTCATTTCATCTGTATGAAAATGGGTGACCTTGAGAGAAAGTGAAACCCTCCAATCAAAACCATCTGAATGCCAGTATGAGAAGAGGATTGCTGAATGCTGCAGTTTGTCGTGTAGATGCTCTTGAAGAGAGCTGATTCTACTAAGAAGGTATGTGTAAAGTGGATTGTCTAAAAAATGCTGAAGCTTTATTGAAATTGTCTCAAAAGCTTCTGGCTACAAATTAATCTATAAGCTCCTTAGACATCACTATTGGCCTTTCTGTCTTTATGGCTAAATGCCCTTCAGCCTGTTCAATTTAACCGGTAGGGAAAAAGGAATAACCTTTTGAAAATCCTGGTGCCAGCAACTCCCCAGAAATAAGAATTCAGGAGAATAGAATCAGATTCTCATACACAGCTCGGCTTTCAACCTTGGAGTCTTCTTTTTTCTGCCATGGACCTAAACATCCTGATTCTTTTGTTAGTTGTATAATGTCACTGCTACTCAATTGAGGTTTTTTGTGTGTGTTTATTATGGTCCTTTGTTATGTTAACCTCTTTTCACCACAATCGTTCATGGACTATTATGTTGATTTTATTTTATGCAGCGCTTCATGAAGCTTTAATGAGACAGAAGAATTGCTTGCGTACATAGACAGTCAAGAAGAAGCTAAGTTCAGGGTAGGTTGATTGATAGACCATTCTCTTATAATTATAGGAAGAAAATAAGTTCTATGTTTATTCATAGTTTGTGGTTCTGTATTTTCCCATCTTATATCAGAAAAAGAAGTTTTGCTGGTAAGATGGTTTGTCGGCGGAGGAGGCCTACACAGATTGCTCGGCGTATCTAATCACGAGATATATATACTGAACCAACCATGTGATCAGCCAAACGCTGTACACTTGCTAAATTACAATTAAATACATATTAACTTCATCTTTGTTCATATGATCATGGTAAATGCACATACATTTACCTAGGATACATAAAGGATGATTGATCTCATGATTTTGTTCTTGTTACATGCTTCTCAACACTTTTTTATCTTTTTTGCCTTTGGTTTTTTTATTTTTTTATTTTTTATAACATGGCTGGGTTTGTTTTTCATATCATTGCTGGTTTCCTGGATTTATTTAGAGTCAATAGTTTGATAACTTTTATGATGAAGTTTACCCTTGTTCCAATGTTTATAACCTTTCATTGGTTATAGGTTCTTAAAAGCAAGGAAGTTCGATATTGAGAAAGCAAAGCACATGTGGGCTGATATGCTTCAATGGAGAAAGGAATTTGGTGCTGACACTATTATGGAGGTAACAACAGTTTATAGTATGCCTGAAACAAAAGTGCCAAATTACCAGTTTTTTTATATTTTTCTCTGTTATATTATCAGGATTTTGAGTTTAAAGAAATAAATGAAGTTTTGAAGTATTACCCTCATGGACATCATGGTGTGGATAAGGAGGGAAGGCCTGTTTACATTGAAAGACTGGGAAAAGTTGATCCTAACAAACTTATGCAAGTGACTACTATGGATCGGTATGTAAAGTATCATGTTCAAGAGTTTGAAAAATCCTTTGCGGTGAAGTTTCCAGCTTGCACCATTGCTGCGAAGAGGCATATCGATTCAAGTACTACAATTTTAGATGTTCAAGGAGTGGTATGTTTCTCTAATCAGCTGATTCTTGTATATAATAAGGTGCAATAAAATAATTTTTACATTGATTGTTTTTGGTTTTCAATTATCTAGGGATTGAAGAATTTCACCAAGTCAGCACGGGATCTCATAATGCGGCTTCAAAAGATTGATGGTGATAATTATCCTGAGGTATGCAATCTTAATTTTCTTAGTCATTGTAACTTGTATTTTAGGGATTGAAATTTATTTTTATGCCAATCTTTAAAAATTTTGCTTTCTATCAATTTGATGCAGACTCTTTGCCAAATGTTTATCATCAATGCGGGTCCTGGATTTAGGCTGCTATGGAATACAGTGAAATCTTTTCTAGATCCAAAAACAACTTCCAAGATTCATGTATGTTACGATGCTTCTCTTCTCTATATTAGAAGACTATCTGTTACCTTGTATGTCAGGATAAGATGTTATATTTTGTAAACTTAATCTATTTATAATTTTCTTATTGGTTCTGACGAATGTAGGTTCTTGGAAACAAGTACCAGAGCAAATTGCTTGAGATAATTGATGCCAGGTAAAGGATATTTAATACATTTTTAGTGCCTTTTTCTAAACTGATTAATTCTTGTAATTCATTTTACTTAACTCATAGTACTTACTTTATTAGCTTTATTGTGCTGAATGCTCTCATGTTTGATGGAATTGTTTTTGCTATATGTTCAGTGAATTGCCAGAATTTCTGGGTGGTAGCTGTACTTGTGCCGATCAGGGAGGCTGCCTTCGATCTGATAAGGGTCCGTGGAAAAACCCAGAAATACTGAAGGTAATTTGTGGACCTTATTATTTCACACGTGATGTAAATACTGTTAAATATTTTATGATTTTTATCACCCACAGTTCTGATTTAAGAATGTTGGTTGTGTGTGCATTTGTTATAGATGGTCCTTCATGGAGAAGCACGACGTGGCAGGCAGGTTGTGAAAATTTTAAACAGTGAGGGGAAAGTTCTTGCTTATGCTAAGCCAAATTACCCGATGGTATGACCAATTTTTAATTATTCTGTCCATAGGGCATGGCCATGATTATTTCTGTTCCTAGCTAGACTATAACATAAATTCTTTGTGTACTATTTTGAAGCAGTTAAAGGGTAGTGATACATCCACTGCTGAGTCAGGATCTGAAGCAGAAGACATTGCTTCCCCGAAGGCAATAAAGAGTTACTCAAATCTTCGATTGACTCCTGTTCGTGAAGAAGTAGGTTTTTGAACATATCTTGTGTGATTATGGTTTCAATTTATTTAAAATTGAGATGTTTCTTGCCTGGGCTGAATTATCTCTTGATCTATTTTAATTGAGATTAGCCGGGACTCTTTTTTAAACATTCTTACATAATGTATTGGTGAAATGACAATGCATGTTATATAAGGACCATCTTTCTAGTGATAATAAATAATATGTAAGATGACTTAAGAGTAAGTTAAGGATAGTACAAGGAAATTATTAAGTTCTATCCAAGTATTAAATGTTGTTTGCATAAAGTGGATTTTCTAATTCTCTTATCTCTTGTGGAATTGCAGGCTAAGGTAGCTGGGAAACCAGGCTATGTTGGTAGCTTTGCTGGGTATGATGAATATGTTCCAATGGTTGACAAAGCTGTTGATGCTGGTTGGAAGAAGCAAGCATCTCTGCAGATGTCCTCTGCTTCCAAAGGTTAGCAAGTCTGCTGTGTTTTATTACCTACAACTTTGCATCTGTCTGTAGTCTATTTTATGTTGGTTTAGGGTCTGGCATAATTACAACAGATGCACTTACTCGTACTATGCTATTTTCTCAAACCAAACCCTCCTCTCTCTCTTTTTCCCCACCCTTCTCCTTGGGTCTGCACGACTACAGTGTGTATGGTTATTCTCACTGATAACTTAAAACCATTATATGGGGCATGACTTGCTTTCATTGCATATATATAATCATCAGATTTCCTACAATAGGCAATCCTGTGTATGACAAAAATAATAAAGCGCTGTATGATGTCTTCAACATTTAATGGGGAAAATTACCCTATTGTATACAATGTTTACAATCATTTGTATAATTAAATAACTAGGATAAAATGTTTGCATCTTACTTTGTCGTCGTTTAATCTGGTTCTTGATACTATATACCCAAGAATGTGAAATTTAATTTTTTGATGCAGGAACTCTTTCCCAACCTGTCACTTCAAAGGCACCAGAAGGAATCCGTGCTCGGGTTTTGGTTGCACTCATGGCATTCTTCATGACACTCTCAACTCTCTTCCGTTCAGTGGCCTCCCGTGTAACAAAGAGGCTTCCTGGTGCATCATGTGATCATGGTCGAAATAATCCTGAACCTGCTGTTGATGTGACTCAAAAGGAGGAGTTTCGGCCACCATCACCAGGTCCATCTTTTACTGAGGCAGATCTCATTTCATCTGTAATGAAAAGACTGGGTGACCTTGAAGAGAAAGTGAAAACCCTCCAATCAAAACCATCTGAGATGCCGTATGAGAAAGAGGAATTGCTGAATGCTGCAGTTTGTCGTGTAGATGCTCTTGAAGCAGAGCTGATTGCTACTAAGAAGGTATGAGTAAAGTGGATTGTCTAAAAAATGCTGAAGCGTTTATTGAAATGTCTTCAAAAGCTTCTTGGCTACAAGTTAAATCTATAAAGCTCCCGTAGACATCACTATTGGCCTTTCTGTCTTTATGGCTAAATGCCCTTCAGCCATGTTCAATTTAACCGGTAGGGGAAAAAAGGGAATAACCTTTTGAAAATCCTGGTGCCAGCAACTCGCCCAGAAATAAGAATTTTAGGAGAATAGAATCAGATTCTCATACACAGCTCGGCTTTCAACCTTGGAGTCTTCCTTTTTCTGCCATGGACCTAAACATCCTGATTCTTTTGTTAGTTGTATAATGTGTCACTGCATACTCAATTGAGGGTTTTTTGTGTGTGTTTATTCATGGTCCTTTGTTATGTTAACCTCTTTTCACCACAATCGTTCATGGACTATTATGTTGATTCTGTGATGATTTTATTTTATGCAGGCGCTTCATGAAGCTTTAATGAGACAAGAAGAATTGCTTGCGTACATAGACAGTCAAGAAGAAGCTAAGTTCAGGGTAGGTTGATTGATAGACCATTCTCTTATAATTATAAGGAAGAAAATAAGTTCTATGTTTAATTCATAGTTTGTGGTTCTGATCTTTCCCATCTGTATATCAGAAAAAGAAGTTCTGCTGGTAAGATGGTTTGTCGGCGGAGGAGGCCTACACAGATTGCTCGGCCGTATCTCAATCACGAGATATATATACTGAACCAACCATGTCGATCAGCCAAACGTATACTACTCTCAACAGTGTAATCCCAAACTTATGTTAAGCGAAATTAATGTTTCGAAACTATGCTTTGTGTTGTTTATTCCTTTTTTAACTCGTTCAACTTGTTGTGACACTCGAAATGAGCACATTTAATATCATCAGCTTTCGTATATAAGTAGCTTTGTGTATTTGTACTGAGAAAATTAACTTTGGTGAGACTGCTAATTGCGATTAAAATTTGAACATTAACCATTGCCTTCTCTGAGCTAATAATATTAAACTCAGTTGCTGTCTTTTAAAGATTTTTAACTCAGAAACTCTAAGTCTGAGCTTATTATATTGGCAATAACCAACCGGGATGAAACTCGGCAAAGTTGACGGGTCCTGGGTTGATCGGTTTAACCAGTTTGATCGGCCGGTCAAACTGGGTGGCCAAAAGTTTAAAATTCAGCAAATATGCCTTTAAAAATTATAGTTAAGTCTCTACATGTTTGAAATTTAGTAAACACACCCTGAATACGAATTGGCGGCTGACTGGTTGGCGACGGTGACACTTCAAATGCAATCCCAATCATCTCTTGAGTTATTCCCAGAAAGTCTACCAAAGATCTAGCCGAAATTAGTTAGATCTTACCACTGTTGGCTTCGACAACCCTCCCCATCACCACGAAAATACTCCCTCAATCTCTTGACCAAAACACATCTCACCCCATCTCTGTTTGCCTTGCCAATTGTCGATTATTGCTGTCGTGGTTTTTTTTTTTTTTTTTTTTAAAAATTTCTAGTCTATTCACTCGCCGAAAATCACCTCCATCGTCACCGTTGGACTCATCGGCCCTTACTCTTTAAAAGCCCCAACATCCCAACCTTCAATTGTTCGTCTATCACCGTCTCAATTGTTAGGGTTTTTGGTGAATAGGAAAATTGCTAACCTGACTTGGTGAAGGGGGGCGGGTTTAAAACATCGATTACAACCTAGGAACCACATAAGCCCTTGAACGATAACATCAACAAAAGCCAGCTTAATCACTTTTTAATTTTCTTGTTGGTTTGGGTAGAAGAGATAAAATACCTTGTAATACAATCTTATTATATTTTCAAAGGCAGTAGTATTATATATACAAACTTTATCATAGTTTCAAAATTAGTAGGTTTATATATACAAAGGATTCTATGTGATTTTTTGCGTCAATACAACTAAAATATACATTATATCAACAGTCAAATCAGTTGACGTATAAAGTTGAGATCCTAATTTTGTACGGATAATATTATATTTTCAACGATTAAAAACCCTAGAATACAAAACACAAACATTTGTATGTATGTTGATGGTCAAAGTGTCATATTCTCTACTTTGTTAATTGTTAGTAGATGCATTCAAATGTTTTGCACTACATGAAGTGAGCAAAGGGACCTTTAACTTTCAACATATACACAAATGGCAAACTGTTTACAAGGAGGGCTTTTGAACTGAATGACAAACAAAAACAAACATGGTCAGACACAGAGAATTTGGGGCTGAAACATCACCATAATCGCCACCATTATCAACAGCATTAACTTACACTAATCTTCAGAAACATTAGAGCTTTCAACAAAACCACCTCACCAGTGAAAGACTCTGCATTTTAAAATCCAAAAAACTGATATGTGAAAACTCTATTTATGCTTCTCATTTATGCTTAATCTTAAACTTGTTATAGTATTAAAGATATGCCTGACTTACCTTCTTCTTCTTCTTTTTCTTTTCAAGGTATGCCACCAGCTCTTGTTGTTGAGCAAGAGAATCCTCGAGCGCCTGCACAAGAAAACGATGGAATACATGAATAATGATCACCACATACCTTTTCTGAAATGGGAAATATGCTTTATACCTTCTTGGTGGCTGCTAGCTCTTGCTCCAGGGTGTTTACCCGGTTTACTGCAGCATTCAACATCTCTTCTTTCTCCGGTGGCATGGTGACAGGCTTCATGGTGAGAATGTTCACCCTTTCCTCTAGTTCAGCCATGCGCTTCATCATCAAATGGAATTCTGTACCTGAAACGGAGTGGGGTGGCAACTTCTGGACATGATGGCTTTTAATCATTGTCTCAGTGTAGTAATCTCCGCCGCTATAGAGTGACGCCTCTGTGATTTTTCGTGGCATGTTTCGCGTTAAGCGAACCATGGTGACTATACCCATAACCACTGCCATCAGCCCACCGAGGAGGTGGTTGCTTACTCCCTCAGGATTCTTGCATCCACCTTTCACTGCGAAACAATCTGTGGCCAAATGGAGTAAGTATTATTGTTGACTGTCTCAAGTCACATATCTTAATATATGACGTAAAAGAAAACAAGATTATGTACCTCTGGGGATGGTGAAGTTATCATCTTGGCTTGGGTTGAGCCAAGAAGCATCAACACTCCTGTTGACAACTGGAACTCTATCATTAAACTGATAGACATCATTGAACTTCTTGTTCATGGAAGACTGCAATACATAAAGGCAACATAGAATTATTACGGTTATCCTTAAAGGCCACATAGAGGAAACTGTTGGAGATCCCATATCGACTAAGCACGTTCAAACCATCTGGTTTATAAGAAAGGACAATCCTCTCATTCAGTAAGGTCTTTTGGGTGAGAAGTTAGGCCCAAAAACCAATTGATATCAGAGGCAGCCTAGATGAGCTGAGTGATTGACTAACGGTGGGCTGCCAAACTACCTCTATTCATAGACATGACCTGCCATATGGGTTTGACCGTGAGGGAAAGTGTTGGAGATCTCACATCAACTAGGCACGCTCTTATTGGTTTTTGGATCGAGGCCTTATTGAATGAGAAGATTGTCCCTTCTTATAAACTAGATGGCTTGAGCGTGCCTAGTCGATATGCGATTTCCAACAGAAACCATTAAGTTAATGGAGACGGAGGTTTGAAAGACTTACTCTTAGACGAGGAGATGGATCCGGATGCTCCATATGCTCCACTGTTGAAACAGTTTCCTGGTTGAAAGAATAACATCTCTTCAATTGGTCATGTTCATATTACAAAGTTGAGGCCATCAAATCATCAACCATTTAAAACTGTAACGAAACTTATTCAAAGGATTTGAGTACCTTAACTTCCGCTAGATCGTCTTCTACAATTGTCTTCTCCTCAATGTTTGACAGAACTTTCCTTGTGCATTTGGCTTCACCATTTTGAACCATCTGGTTCATAAAAACAACAAACTCTGTTGAGTCTGTGTTATCTTAATATACCGTATCATGCCAACTACAAGAACTTATATTTTCAATTACGGTTAATTACCTTGATTATATCTGGATCATTCCATGGACCCTTATCGGATCGCATACATCCACCTTTGTCAGCACAAGTACAAGTGCCACCCAGAAACTCCGGCAGCTCACTGGCATCAATTATTTCAAGCAATTTGGATTGGTATTTGTTTCCCAGAACCTAATATATGAAGCATCAATTTGGTTTAGTGACATTACAAGATTAGATGAATTGGGCACTGCTTTAGTTAATGAAAGCCAAATTCTTACATGGATTTTTGCCGTGGTCTTGGGATCAAGGAATGATTTAACAGTGTTCCATAAGAGCCTGAATCCAGAGCCGGCATTAATGATGAACATGCGGTTCAAGGTCTGCAATTGAAAACACAATCAATAAGCAGTGTTGGCTGCTAATGAATCAACTTTAAGCTCAATGAACCTATGGATATTATTGGAGTCTCACATCGACTAGACACATTCAAGCCTACTGGTTTATAAGAAGAGGTAATCCTCCCATTCAACGAGGTTGCCTTATTGGGTGAAGAGTCAGACCCACTTCAAATTCTGTCATGGTATTAGAGCTAAGCCCAGTTGAGTTGAGTGTTTAACCAGCGGGTGAGGAGTTAGAGCCAATAACTACCTCTATCAACATGCATGACCTAATATAAATAACTACCTCTATCAATATACATGACCTAATATATAGGCTTGACAGCGACTAGACATGCTTAAGTCTACTAGTTTATAAGAGGGGGTATTGGGTGAGGAGATAGACTCGCCACAAATTCTATTAGATATAATATGAGTACCTCAGGGTAATTGTCACCATCAATCTTCTGCAGACGCTGAACCAGTTCCCTTGCAGCTTTGTTGAAGTTTTTAAGTCCCTGAAGCACCGTTCAAGTTTGATTTGAGCAAAACCAATCTCCTGAAACAGAAGACAATTTTTTCCAAGAAAAAAAAAAAAAGCTTAATTTAGACATACCACTCCTTGCACATCCAGAATAGTTGTGCTCTGATCAATGTGTTTCTTTGCTGCAATTGAACATGAAGGAAACTTGTAAACGAAAGTCCTCTCGAACTCCCTCACATGATACTTCACATAACGATCCATTGTTGTGACCTGCATCAGCTTGGTGGAATCAACTTGACCCAAGGACTCAATGTAAACAGGGCGTCCATCTTTGTCAACTCCATGATGCCCTTGTGGATAGTACTTTAAAACTTCATCAATTTCCTTGAAATCAAAGTCCTAAAACAAAAGAAACCAAATCAAACAAGTTAAACTATACATGGAAGAATTCAAAGCCGACAATTTTTATTTTTATTTTCACTTTGTTCAACAACTACCTCCATGATTGTGTCAGCACCAAATTCTTTTCTCCACTGGAGCATATCGGACCACATTTGCTTTGTTTTCTCAATGTCAAATTTCCTGGCCCTTAAAAATCTGCATGAATTTACAGTAAGTCTTAATCCAGACTGGTTTCAGTTACATTTAATCAGTTGAAAATGGACAGGGAAATGAGAGTAACCTTAGCATCAGGTGGTGATCGTCATGTTTCGATGGAAGTAGTTCGTCCAAGATAAGTGCCTGGCGAAACGCATCAACCGCCTTCATTTCCTCAGCATCAAGATTATCTTCGATGGCAACAGACATAACTTTACTGTTTCTGCGGCCTTTCTTTGTCAACGAATGCCTAAACTTGGTGGAGGCGCTAATTGCTGCCTTCTTCAGGGAACCAAGTCGAGTCTTCCTCTCATCCTCGGAGAATTCATGTTCAGCCTTTTCTTGGCCTGAAAAATACAAGATTTCATCAAAACTACATCTAGAGATTTAATGAGAAGGAGGCCTGAAGAGAGATTGAATTGTTGCAGAGTGAAAATGTAGAATGCTTACCCGTTTTGATGGGTCGGTCAAGAGGTCCAGACATGGTATCAGCCATTATTGAATCGTTCAAAATGGTTAAATGATAGACAGCAAGATCGCAAAGAGATCAATTTTCGAGATATCAAACTGATGCCTCACCAAACAGACCTACAACTTCCACCATATCCAAATGTCAGAAGATGATCATAAGCAAATCAAAAGAACATACGTATAAATCAAAAGGGTAGTAATAAAAAATGAAGATGAACGTGAAAGAGAAGAAAAAAGAAGAAGAAGAATACCTACTGACAATAGAAAGTATAGCAGAAAGAGAGAGAAAGAGAGAGGGATATATACGACCAAATAAATCTCAGTAATGGCAGTATCTAAAAAACAGCTAGGGAAAATGGACAGCCAGGTCGATTTTGACAGATTTAGAGAATGAAACGAAATAGATAAAGGATTTTGTTAGTTAAAACTTTAGTTTTTGACAGGGTCCAATTTGCTTGACCATTTTTAAATTTCTGTTGTTTTGAGACAGTGATTTTGGGAGGGAGATTTGCCGATATGCAAGCCACTCCTTCCGTATTCTCAACTGTTTTTTTTCAACTCCACCTAACTCCTCCTCTTCTTTTCTCTTTCTTCTTCAACCTCAATCCATCTTTAGTAATTCCTCCATTATCATCAAATTAATAATAACAAAAGATATTTCCTTTTTATAAAAGATTTTTGAAGTAAATTATCCAAGATTCTTCCCTTATTATACCCTTAATTTTTTTTTTTTTTTTTGGTATTCGGGCCTGAAATCCTAAAGTTAACAAATAGGTAAACCTCCAGAGTCCAGACAGCAATGGTTACCCTTTATTAGTAGTCGTGGAGATTCGAACTCGAGACTTTTTGAGTAATACATTCAAGAGTCCCAAACGACTATCGAGCTAGTTAATTTTATTTTAGGTGAATACTTAAATTATAAGAGGAGGGGACCTACTTCTTTATACCTGACCTCATATTCAGGCAAATCTAGAACGTTTAAGATCACATGTTATATTAAATCTAGATTTTCTATTTCCTGTTTACGACCAACTGATCAGGACCTTTTTTTTACTGCTTCCTACTCTCTTATATATATCATTTATATGACCAGCTGAGACAATGTGTTTATATAATAAAAGGATGAAGAATCGAGGTAGAAGCTTTGAAAGATTACATTTTTACTTTTATATTTTATATAAGACTAAAAATTCTGAGAAGAAAGTTGAACCCCATCTCTCTGTTCAATCTGTAAATAAAAGATTTCCCGACCACGAGGGATTTAAAATAGTTTATGTATTGATGATGGTAATGAATGAGATAAGTTGTGTGTGGTGGGTGGTTGAAGTAGCAAAGTCAATAAATGGCTATGGCCTCTTGTCGTGGTTGTGGAACTCCACTAAGTACAGGATTTATGTGGTTGAAAATTTGAGGAAGATGATCATGTCAACTGCAACTTCATTCTTTCATTTTTATACGAGGAATGCTACGATCACCGAAGTAGTGCACCGAATTTATGCATCGAATGACGTAACAAAATTCTGACTATTAACTAATTTTAACTTAATATTAATCGACGATCAGGATTTTACCACGTCATTCAGTGCACAAATTCGGTGTAAAACCTTTGGTGGTCATATCATTTCTGTTTTTATACTATGCAAAAGTAATACCCAGTAAGCTAACCCCAAGGGGTTGGCCTCGCCGATCAAAGAGGTTTGTTCAATTTCTAAGCTTTTTGGTTCAAACCTTGGGGTCACTTATCATAATAACATTGTGATTTACTTGGTCCTTTGAGTTTATAGGGAGTTCAATGAAACCTGGAGATCAGTTAAAGTACGCACAAACTAGTCCAAACACTCCAATTACCAAAAAGTCAAAAAGAATACCCTGAAACCAGCTATCATCGTTTAACAAAAAGTCACCTTCTTGATGATGCCATGGCACTCGATAAACCTGAAAAGAATAAAAGAAATTTAAAAAAAATGGATTTGGTTGCTGAGAGAAGTTGGCCTACCTTATCAAGGTGACAAGTACCCATATATCAAGTATGCGCCTCTTACACCTATTTAGACACTCGACTATTTTCCTAAGACACAACACACCCCATTACGATTTTGTTCTTAGCTTCAAGCTCAAAACGCATCTAGTATAAATCTATTTAAACACTCAGATATTTTTCCACGAGAGCAATATAAATGTTCAAATCACAATAATAATATAAGTATCGGCCTATCAGGCCTATTTAGACACTCAATTATCCTCCCACGAGAGTGATATGGGATCTCAGGTTACAACACATCCCATCACGATTTTGTTCTTAGGTTTTAAGCTCAAAACGCATCTACTGAGTATATACTTATTTAAACAGTAAGATATATTCACACAATAGCGATATAGAACTTCATGTCACAACAAAAATACCTATTCATATTTAATAATTTATCAATGTGGGTTTGTACATTAAAACTTTTTTTTTCCTAAAAATGCTAAAGATTAGAATCTTACACTAAAATGTCATTAAATGTATATATATATATATTATATATATATATATATTTTTTATAATTTATATAATTTCAAATGTATTTGTAGGGGTCAGTCTAACTAGGCGGCCCACTTGAAGCAACTTCCCATGTGCTTCCTCCTGGCAGACCGGCCCCACCAGCAGCCTCGGCTGTCTACTTACCTCCATTGATGAATGAATCACTAAGCCAATTTGTAAACAATAATATGCGTCATAATATTTTCTCACAAACTCCGAAGTTGTCATTTATTAGCCGTAAATGGTAAAACCTATAAAGTAGAAAAGACCCATTTTATGAGCTGACTAATGATGTTGTGCGTTAAGGTTGGAGATTGAATTTGATAATATTATCATTTGTAAATTATATTATGAAAATTTTTTATTAATTAATAGTTTTCAACTAATTAATCAATGGAGTAGATTAATCCATTTAAATGCATGATTAGTAGATGATTAAAACACACCAAATTTTTCCTCTTGCACAAGGTTTTAAGCTAAATATATGGAAAATGATACGGTCACGAAAAAGGGATACCAAATTCATGCACCGCAGACAGACTGACACCATCATAAAGTTTATTAATTATGAATAAAAAAAAAAAGCGGATGTGGTCCACGTCTGTTGGTGATATAATTCGGATATTTTTTCGTAATGTAGCATTGCTCCAAATATATATACCATATTCTTTTACGTCTATGATTTGTAAGATCTCGCAATGGATAGTGTTTATTGGTTTGTGTTATAAACTAAGAGTGGTGTTATTTAAGTCCCACTCAAACTCTTTAAATTTAAAATCAATTAGAGAAAAATGAATTTTATTTTATTCTAAAATTACCCCTTCTAATTTTTTTTTAACTTCTATAATTTTCTATCTTTTTCCAACTTATTATTTTTTTTTAAGGATTAAAAGAAAATTAAAAAGATAAGGAAAGAGAGAAGTTGAAAAAGATTAGAAAAATGTAGTTTTGGAATAAAATAAAATATATTTAAATTTAATTAATTTTAGAGCTAAAAAAAGTTTTGTAGAGTGAGACTCAATAAACTTTTTAACTAACTAAATATAAGGCCCGAACCAAATATTAATTATAGTGTTACCAAAACCCATGTAAAATGTTGCTTAATTTTTTTATAAATAATAAATTTATGATATTAAACATATAAGGTTGCGACTAATTTAGAACATTTTAATTAATTTTTATGACCATCTGTATTATGAATCAAGGAGAATAAACTGAGACTAGACTTGGCAAACGGGGGGCTGGCAAGTACAGGTAGGGTAACCACGGGTAAACGGTCAAAGGTATGGATTGGAATATTTTTTTGAATGGGTAGAGAAGGCACACACATACCCAACCTGTCCGCAAAAATAACGGGAGGGCCGGGTATAGGTAAAAATGGTGTGGGTATATTAAGGTTACTCATACCTACAAATTTATTAAGTACTCATGACTGTGGGAAGAGCCTTATTTGTCAATTTATCAAGATCTTTAGTAATAACATCTACACCGGATGGTTAATTTAAAATATATTATATGATGATTTCCTAAAAATTAATTAAAAGTTTTTTTATAAAATTTAGAAGCAAAATAGGCACATGACTAAAAGCCATCCCTATACATGAAGTCAAAGTGTTGGGGTTCGTGTGGCTCCCTTTGTTCAGCCATGGCCGTCACTCAGCTTTTCTCCCCTCACTTCACTTTCCAAAACCCTAACCCAAAACCCATTTCCTAAATTCCCCATTTTATCCCTCAAATCCTCTTTCAACCTTCGAACAACCCTTAAACCCTTCACTCTCAAAGCAGTCCTGTCTGAGAACCCCACAAAACCCCTCACTCAAACGAACCATTGAGCACTGTTTCACTAAGAAAGCTGATGGCTTTCTAACTGTGAAGATGTTAAAGTTCAAGATGTCATGGAAATCGTTGAAAAAAGACCTTTTTATTGTACAGTAAGCCACAAATCACTAGAAATGTTGAGGCTTATAAAGAAGCTCTTTCTGGGTTGAACTCTATTATTGGTTATGCCATTAAGGCTAACAATAATTACAAGATTTTAGAGCATTGAGAAAGTTGGGCTGGGAGCTGTTTTGTGAGTGGGAATGAACTGAAGCTTGCTCTTCGAGCTGGGTTTGACCCCACCAAGTAATGCTTTGTTATGTTTTATATGCTAGCTTTTATGTTTTTTTTAATTTGATGTTTTGCTTGTGGGTTTGCTTTGTTTGTTTGTTGTTAACGTGATGATGGATGGATAGGTGTATATTTAATGGGAATGGGAACTCTTGGAAGATTTGGTTGTGCTGCACAAGAGGGTGTTTTTGTGAACGTTGAAGTGAGTTTGACTTGGAGATATTGTAGCGGCTTCAAGAATTGCTGGCAAGAAGGTTAATGTGTTGCTCCGATAAATCCTATGTGGATCTCAGGTTTGTAGTTGCCTCTGTGTGATACATATGAATGTTTTTGATGTATTACATGCTTACAAGTGTAACTTGTAGAAAAAGAGAACATCATTAGAAATTCAATTTAATACTAGAAGTCATTAGAAGTCTTCCTAGTTCATTGATTTTAATGTCATGTTAAGTTGACGAGTGGTTTGGGATGGTTGGTATGCAATGCAAACATCAAGGAATTTTAGCATATCTGAATTTGAGAATTTGGTAGGCATTCCCAGTTTGAGCTAATGGTATATGAAAGAGATCTGCTTTTATGTGACAGATTCAAATTGACTATGTGAAATTGAGTATATTGGATTCTTGCTGTATACTCTATTTACAAAATTGTATTATGTGTGGGTATACTTTGTAGGTTCATCCTTATGTTGCTACTGGAAACAAGAACTCTATTTGGCATTAGGAATGAGAAGTTGCAGTGGTTTTTGGACTGTGAAGGCACATCCTAATGAATTGAAGCTTGTGGGGGCGCATTGCCATCTTGGTTCAACCATTACTAAGGTGTTCCAAACTTTGCTTAATCTGTCCCGTCGTGATACATTTTTGCAATATAGAAATTTTGTGAATAATGTAAAATATTTGTGAGATTTTATTGGTCCTACTTTTGTACTCCTATTTTTGGAAAAAGTTAAAATGATTCCTTGTAATCGTTCTTGTTATTCATTAAATATGGTTTTGGATAT